ATGAGTTCAATGTCAGTTGGCAAAATATCAGCACTATTATGCATATCATTGTGCAGAATATGAGCAGCACAGCCAATACCGGAAATATTTCTTTTTAATTTTTCATTTAGAATTGCAAAAACGTTATTTGTGCCTTTTCTCGAGACGCCGCCAAAATTTGTATTGCAGTTGTCACCCGAAAATGCAACAACATTATTTAATAAATTATATTTTTTTAAACAATCAGTATGTAATCTGATAAAATATTTGATGTTTCTCCTTTTAAATTCATAAATTCTAACACTTTAATTTTTACCCCTTCTTGGGGGTTAAAATACCGAATCAGAATTGGAACTAGTTTTAAATTTTTATGGTTTGATGTGTCCACCATAATTGTTAAAAATTTAACGGATTTTAGTTCATCTAACATCTGTTGAATGGCAAAAGGAGCTATTACATTCACAATTATAGATTCACATTTTGTACGAGCACACGAAAATTTTTTTTCTTAAATTTTTTTTATAATTGATGTAAAATCCATAAACCTGAATGAATGATTGTGTATAATAGTATGATATGCAAAAAGACCCTCTTCCGCCGCAATAAGTTTGCTTTCATTTGTTGACTGTACAATGGTAAAATAATTCGTTACCTTATTTGAAGAACTGCTTGATACGGCCAATAAATGTTTCTTTTGTTTAACATGTTATGTAATATCTGAACGACCACCGTTTTCTATTGAAAAAACTGATTTACATACAATACATAAAACTTTTCCGATTTCATCACTATCTCTTAAAAACGGAAATTCAACTTTCAAGGTGGGAGTAAATACGCACCTTCGCTTAGGCATTTTAATAGATTACTTTCTTAAAATTGTAAAATATTATATTAACGATTATCAACAAGTTCACAACACTCAACGATTGTTGGAACCAAACTAATAGTTATTCGCTATTCGCCGTATTCACAAAACGTATTTTCAGTGATATAAATAGATAGAATCGAAAGCATAGTCAGATAACGGTAAATCCGATAACTCCGATAAGCTCTTATAACTCGTAGACATATCGTCATACCCCATACTGATAAATTCAGACAATTACAAGATTACAATTATAATCATTATTCATAACTTTCGTAAGTTTCGTTTTCAAATTCATTCATTTTGTTTGATCAAAAAAACAGGACAAAAAGCGTCCTGAAAGAAGTTTGTCAGGACAACAGGACACAACGCTGAAATATAGGACAATCCTGTAAAAAACAGGACGTATGGTCACCCTAGCATAATATAGTGCTTATTCAGTTATTATTTCCATTTAATAGCAAGAGGTTCTATACTTAATTTTCTTTTGATAATTGTTAGTTACTTGCTCTGTGTCATGTTATTTGAAATAATTTATTAATCTGGCCATATTATTTTAAGAAAACATCTAGGTTATAATATACAATAAAACTATTAGTACATTTAATTATTACTGTTAATACGATAATATTAATAAAATAAAAGTGCATATATTATATATTGATATTAACTAGAAATGTATAAAAATTTCAGCTAAAATTAATTTAATTAGATGTAGTTTTTTATCACTCAAAATGTCCAGTTATTTTTGTTAATTACTGTTAAAAAAATATCTTTTAAGTTCAGACAAATTGGTAGGTATTCAAACATTATGTATTATACTGCATGTCACAGTTAAACATAAGTAATTGTATATATAATTATATATTTGTACGATTAAAATTGTTTTAAAGTGCAAAATGTTCAATTATAGGTAATTGTCACGTGTAAATTTAATTTGATATAAATATGTCCACTTGATTTCGGGCATTTTGCACAGTGACTGGGCAATCTCAAATAATGCCCAGTCAATATAGACAAAATTTAAGTATTAAACAAATTGCCCCAATTGTTTGGGCATCAATCAACTTGTGGGTCCAACGTTCTTTTGTACCTGCATTCTTCCTGCCACCTTTGTTGTACCTCGTTTCTTGCGTTGTGAATAATACAGTCCTTGTTTCCTTCCTTTCTATTTTGGTATATCCGTTTCCTGCACTTTGCTTGAAATTTTAAATGGGGGATATCAGCCACTACAAGGATCGCTTCCGTAAACACAGTTCGGTTAGTCATATACTACGTGCTAACTCGAGTTCTACGCCTAGGTACCTTAGATGGTGCCTAGTGTATACCTGAGACTCCACTAGGTTCACAGTGAGCTGGTTATGGAATCTTGCTTTAGTGAGGACAATTAGTCTACCGCCAAACTCATTCCAATGTTGGTCAGTTGCTCAACCATTGGTGAGTCTTCTGTGCCACAGCTTCTATTACTGACTTCAATTTTATAGTATCCACCACTTTCACAATTATCGCCACGTTGTCTACAAGCGATACTAGCACAGCGTTGCTGGGCAGGTTCCATCTGAAAAGTCCGTCGTATAGGACATTCCATAATATTTACCCCTGTTGTACTCCGTTCAATACTTTCATGATAACTCTTGTACCTTCCGCGTCACGGTAGCTGATTTCCTTCTCATAAAGGTAGTTTTCCTGTACAGGTACAAAGGAATATTTTTGCTTTTTAACGCCTGCATGATACTTGCTCATAGAACAGAATTGGAGGCATTTTTTACGTCTAGCGTAAGTAGGCCAACCTTGTACCTATTGCCATATTTCTCTACTGTTTTGCTCATCAACTCTAATGCATCTGCAGTTGAACAGCTCTTTCTGAATCCATACTGGTACTTGGTCAGACCACAATCGTCTTCAATCTCTAGTAGATATCTTAGTAAATGAAAAGTTTTACAGCGCAGTCTAAAAGGCATATGGGACGGTACGACGACGGGTGTTCCGGAGGCTTGTATCCTTTATTCAGAAGGACTAGGCATCCTCGTTTCCAAGCCTTGGGAATTATTCCTTATCTCAAGTATGGATTATAGAGTCTGAGTAATACTCATGGCTGTAATATTGGTGATTCCATCCAACTCGGGGGCGATGTTTCACTTCAAGGCGCCTATGGCTGTTGCTAGCTTCCCTGACTCTATTTCTGAGAACTCTGGTGGATCCTGTGGCCAGCATTGCTCCCGTCTCGACAGGTGCTCCGAGAAAAGTCCATTGATAATATAGTGTAACCTGATTGGCAGGTTTAGCCCCGGGAGGAGATGACGCTTAGATAATTTACCCATAACATTTTTATGAGGCATTCCCCATGGTTTCCGGTCTACCTGGTCTCATAGTTTCTTCCACAATTTCTCCTTGACACGTAAAATCTTCTTGACCAATTTGAGTTTGGCTTGCTTCGTCTTTTCTCGCTTAGCTTCATATTTAGCGGAACCTAGCCTCAGCTTTTTTCGTCTTGAACACCCGGAGTAGATGATTGAATCTCATTATCAGTTTTTTTTAATTCCGTTGTCCGCCAATGTACGAAATTTATTCTGGAGGTGCCGGTGTTTGGTTTCTACCATGGATACCCATTATCATTTCTGAGAGGTAGGCCGTATCCTCTTTATCATCTGCGTTAAGGAATTTCCAGATGATCGTGGATGTTTCCGAGTTTCAGAGTTTCCCGTAAACATGCGTAATTCAATTTCCGTCTATTTCTACCTGTTCGGTCCTTCGTTATGATTTCTAGGTTAGAGTAGGATATCATTCTGTCTGTATTCAACCCTTCAATTTGTTATCTACGAAGTTATCTCCTGGGATGTAAAAGTCAGGTCAATTATCGATTCACCCCTTGCGCAATCGAAAGTTGGAATGTCACCCCGATTGCATATTGATTACTAGGCCTACTGAGACAATCATGTCGTACAACGCTTCTTCTTTCTTGTTGCTTCTCGCCGATTTCCATGCGGTGAAGTCACCACCTATGAGGACCGTTTGAGTGGTAAATGAACGGTGGCACTGATTGTATGGTAGACCGCTAGTAAGGGCGGTGGTAAGATAGGGTGAGTGCGTGGTAGGTCCAGTGATAAAATAATACATGACGTATTGGTAATAACTAATAAGAGACAAGAGAGGGCGTGGATTAGTAATAGGAGATTAAAGGATCGGTGAGTAGTTAGGTTAGATTACTTTTGATAGTGGAGGTGATAAGCGGGATTTATAGGGGATGGATTAGTTTGGCATGCATTTTATAGTGTAGAAATTAGACAGGATTCGTTGGGTATAGGTTTGTTAGACATATGTTTGATAGTGGAGGGGATAGTTGGGAAGAGGATAGGTTCATTTTGCATTGGTTTGATACTGAAAGAAATAAACGGAAGGGGTAATTGGATTGTGTGGATCTACGGGGGGCAGAACCGCCCTTTTTACCCTACTATTACAATTTCCAGCTAAATTACTTTATGTCTGTGAGTAAGTTGTTACTTAAATTAAGTTAGGTTAGGTACTTGATTAGTTCTAAATAGTATCCTAATTCATTTTGTTAATTAATACTTTATAGGTTTAAGATAAGAACTCTAGATCGATGAATTACATACACACACAGTAAAATTTGTTTAGTTCTTGGATAAGTTTAAATAATATTATTGCATAAAAAAAACTATTCTACTACCGATTTTAGAACATTTTTTTCATCATCATTTTTTTGAACATCGTTTTGAATAAGAATTTAAGTCTGTGCCCAAATGATAATAATATAATACACATTGATGCACGATAATAATATTTTGCATTATAAATTATAATCGAGCATCATAATATAGCATAACGAGTAGTCAATTCACTATCAACGAAGACATTTGCTGTTGGGGTATGTGCCCAATTGAAAAATTGGGACCCTGGCATTGTTATTTATAATATTTAGAGTAGTGGAGTCCTTAAATGTTTCACAGTGTAATCCATATAGTGCTGTATTTACCTAACTTGTTACTTTAACTTTATAATTGTTTTTTTTTTATATATATAAAATATATATATATATTATATATATATCTTTTTTCCTTTTTTTTCCATCATTGGTTTTTTATTTTTATTATTTATGTGCATATAAGCTATTGTTTCAGGGAAACATTATGAAATAAATAAAATAACAACATTAATAACATAATCACTATTATACATATTTGTCGTTATTAAAATCAAACCTAATGGTATCACGTTATAATAATTGACCATCTCATACACCGCCTGTCAGCTGTGATTGTAATGTAGATAATATTATTGAATTAACAGTTTTGCATTACATTTCGCTGAATCGATAACTGGACAGCTTCCATAAGCTGGTCTATAGACGCCGTCTGATCGGCCGACTGTTGCCGGAGCAACGTGAGCTCATTCTTGAGCCTGTCAACTTGGCCCGCAGACTGGCACTGGGCCGCGGATAGACGGCCATTTTCATCAGACAATTTAACGGTTAATGCACTGCGCTGATCTAACAGCCGCTGACCCTCACTGTCTATCCGGGACACTTCGGCTCGAAGCAAATTGAGCGAGTACAGCAGCTTCTTGACGCCAGGCCCACCACTGTCGTCAACTTTCGTGGTTTCGTCACCGGAAGCCGACAGGTTTCTGTCACCACTATTCTCAGAAGTGTCCACTACTGTGGATATCGTTTGCGTCAGGTATGGGCCCGGATCCGCTTGGTACTTGGCCCAGCTAAACATTGGCAATACCTCGCGCAAATAGTTTAATGCCACCGTTGCTCGGTTGAACATACGATGTCCTAGATACGAGTACTTGCCACACAATGACATTTGTTCGATGGCTAGACCGTCGCTTATATTCTCCGCCCTGGTTTCAAACACGTTTGACGTGAACTCTTGGAATTCTTGCAACATACCGTCCGATAACCTGATCAACAATGTTGCGTGGTCACACGTGTAAAGAGACACCTGTACCGTATATATACGATGATGTTAACGGTCTATTAATAATATTTTTTTTTTAAGGAATTTTTATTTTGAAAATTCTGAAAGAAAGCGAAGAATATATTGCTTTTACAAGTTTAACCTAACCGTTAGCAAACATGTAAACCTAGGTACATACCTGAGAGTAAAAGTCTTGTAATGTAGTAGAATCATTAACATTCTGCAATACGTGCAACAACTCAGGACCGACCGTCTTTCTTTCGGACTCTGAAAGTGTCGGGTACACGCAATCATCGTCTAACAGGCCGGTGTAATCGCGTCCCATACGACCCGAAATCGGTTTTCTCAAGTGCCATCCCATGTTATCCAAGCAAGGATCGCATAGCTTAGCTAACGGGTTGGCTTGAACGTTTCTCTGGTGTTCACTGCCTTTGCGGACGCCTCCCGAATACGCTTCACACTCTCCTCCACCCGCTAAGTGACCATCTCGGTCGTTCTGTGCAGCCACCGTAACATCCGCTACGCTACTCTCTTCTAAAACGTTGGTTTTGTCATCGGCTATTTCGGTTATGTCGGTCACTTCGGTTTTGACGTCAGTCTCTAAAGTATTTTCACTATTCACGTTGTCACTGTTCTTTACGTTACTGTTGTTTTCGGTATCGATTCCGTCATCGGCGTTCTGCAGCAGTGATTCTGCTTCGTCTCCATAGTATTCCTCTTCATCGTCTACCGTCTGTACCGCTCTACTGGCCATAGTCAACCGCCAGTGATCGTCCATACTGTCACCACATCTGTTCGGCCGGACTGACGGCGTTATCCTGTTGCATGCTAATGTACTGCTACGGCTAAGGTACCTGCTTAATGGTAACAAATGACCTTGAGGTGGGGTCCTGACGAATGGTGGCCCGATTCTCCGGTTCTCAATCATGAGCTGCAACATCTTTAAGTAGTTAAACTCATTGGGACCACGGTGTCCCGTGGTCAATTTTGACACCCACTGCTCGATGGTTAACAACAGCTGGAGATCACTTATGACGTTCGTTTGTTCATTGATGTCGCTAGCGATCATGTCGAAATCTATATCATCGATCATTTCGGTGATGGCGCTCTGCAGATAAAAACAATAATTTGTTGTTTACAATTAAAAAAAATTTATATATCAACAATTTGCGTTCTAAAAAATGTCTATTATTACAATGAAAACTTATAATTAGTAGGTATCTAGGTGATACATGGATATATGCTTTCCACGCCATTAAACTTGTTAAAACTAACATAATCGGGTGGTAACAATTATTTTTAAATTTTCAGGATGTTGGACTTTAAATATTTGTTTTAAAAGTACGATTCACAAAATAAAAAAAAGACGGGCATACTTTACATGTGGGTGGACCACTGTTATAGGTGAGAAGTTGGGATGATAGAGGAGAAATATAATGTACATCTATACGCAAAGATTAATCATTGCTAACGAATAACGATTCTGAGTGGAGTTCGATTAATAATGTTCCTTTGTCAACAATATATATGTTATACTATGGAAAATAATTACATATGCATTGAATATTTTCTTTAATAATATTTGTTTAATATTATATTTACTTTCCCGGTTATTCTAATGTTTTTCTTTTATTAGGTAAACACCTGGGAAACCCAAAAAATGACCTCCCTGAAGTACTAATTCAGTCAGATTTCCATTCAGAAAAAGGTCTATCAAGAGGTTTTCAAAATATCTGGGAAAACCCGGGATACAACGTAGAAAAATGGGAAATTTACGAAAATGATGCTTTTTTATTATTTTTAATTTTGTTTTTTTTTGGTGTAATTCAGTTAAAAATATTTGTAGAGACTTTAAATTTGGATATAAAAACTGTATTTAACTTTTCTACACGTGGTAATTTTACCAATTCGGCCTTGGATAATAACTATTTCAGCGTTCTTTCCAAAAAAACAATTCTCACTATTTCTATAATGTATTAAATCATTGTTTCATGGTCAAAATATTCGGACAGTATATAACCTATCCTATAATTAATGCTGTAACTATAATTTTAAAGTTATTAAAAAAATGTTAATAATCAATATAATTCACTTATTGAGATTTATAAATAATTTAATGAAAAATAAAAAATTGTCTGAACGAATCTACAATTTATTTAATTTAGTTTTTACTCAATGTTAACAACATTAAAATGCTTTCATACTCTTGAGCCTTAATTAGTTGATTATATGGTATACTCTTTCTTAATTTATATTATAAAATCTATTTGAAATATTGCCATTGAATATTCTAACAATATTTGTTCAATTTCTTGTTACTTTGCGTGTAGTAAAAAAAATATTTTTTACTATTGATTATTATGATTATGTTGGTAGAACGTTACGTAAAGCCCTTAGGCAAAGCTGTTTACATTCAACAATCGATTACACACTATGGCTACTACGACTACACATTCGCTGTGTTGTACAAGGCTAAATGCCGTGAGCTGCCCGCACAAGATCGGAAAACATTTGACGAAATGGTGTAATTTTTCAGGTAAATTTAACGATTTTCTAAGTACCTAGATTTAAAAATAAAAATAAGCAAATATAAATACTTATAAGTTTTCTTTTTAAATATCATTAATCTCTTACGGAGAACGTTAATTAGATTAACCGAATAAATTATGTCAACTGGATTTTTAAAGAAATGTTTTTTATGTTTTTAGTGTGAAAAGTTTAGTTTCCGAGTTTATTTTTGCTTTATAAGCTTAAACCCTGATTACTTGTTAACATATATAAAATGTTTGTAAAAAGTCATTAAATGTTATTGAACATTGAGTCTTGTAGGTATTCTAAGTTTGTGAGTGGATCGAGGATTATTTTATAAGGGATATTAAATTATTGTCGGCAATCATAATAGTTGTCAACTTTTTTGTTTTTTATGATACTTATCAAATAAAAAAAACAATTTTTTGATTTAGTTTAGTTGACAGATATTAGACCACCAAGTGGAATAATTTAAACATATCTGTCACTAATTCTATCATCAAGTTTATGTATAATGTGCTACAAAAATGGTATTTATTTATAAATTGTAATTTCAAACCATTCTACAAGTTCACTCACATATTTTTTGTTTGAGTTTGTTGACCACAAAAAGGAGGAATTTTAAATTCATCCTAAATATTTTTAATTTTTAGATACATTTTTGAATAAAAAAAATTATGTAAATTTGACATATTTGAATATTATCAAAATGCGTTCACTACATTTTTAATTTTTTTATTTTTCATAGCTTTATAAATAAGTGCTTAAAACAGTGTGGCTATAGACAATATATTTATTATAAAACAAAATAAACATTAACTAATTAAATAAAAAACATTCAAATTGAATTACCTACCTACTAATTATTATTATTTTATTTATATATCAATCAAAATAAAATATAGTAAATAATATCATTTCCTACGAAACAAAAATAAAGGTCTACATAGGCCAAGGATGTGGGAGAGGAACTAGACTACAGAGGGGCCCTAGTCTCAACCACAATCTACACAGTTTAAGTTATACACTTCCAAGTACAAAACTCAAGTGAAAGGGTTTTAAAAAATAAATATTGTAATTTTAAAATAATTTAAAAATATTTTAAGTTTAGTTTACCATAAATTCACCTATATCTATTATACCTGTACCTATTAATTAAACAAATTATTCAAAGATAATTAAGTAGATTATAAAACTAAATGTGAATTAATTAAAGAAAATCATACTGCCCAATTGCCCAAAAAACTAACAAAAAAAAATAATATTAAAATAAAATAAACTGTGATGGAAAAAAAGTCTTTGACTGATACATTTTTTATTACAAATGTAATTTAATTTAATGCCATTTAATATCAAGTCTCACTGTATCAGTCACAACTTCTTTTCCATTCCATTTTTTTTTATTTTTTCTCCACTGTTAAAAAGAAACTGGAACAATAATTTTATAATAAATGAATAATATAAAAAAGTGGCTTGATGTTATTATCCTTTAGTTTAAAGGTATTTATAATTTTATGATAAAAATATATATAATTTAATTTGGTATTTAATTTTCATTGCAGATAAAATCACTAAAACTTGGAATTCACTAAACCAGTTACAGTCATCTTACAAATAACCACAAGATTAAGAGAAAGCAAACATTTAATGAAAATGTCCAGTTCTTCTGATAATTCAAATTACTCCACTATTGGTACTCTTAGTACTATTAGTACTAATGATAGTCATGGTGATGTATTTTTATTCAGTGATTCCTCAAATGAATATTTTAATATTGATGATGAAACAAATCAGGTATTTTGTAATGAAATAAAAGTGTTAATTTTATTATTCAAAAAGATCTATTTTTTATTATTTTATTAATATAAAATATGTTTCAGAATAATGAAACAGGTCAAAGAGTTGAAAACAATATATTCAAAAATAATTTGCAATTCAATAAAGAACAGAATGCATGTAGTGCTAAAGGTAAAATAAAATATACATATAAATATAAACTCTAAAATTTACAATAATATTATATTATTATATGTATAATAATAATAAATAAATTGAAACTAGTAAGAATTTATAATAATTATATTGCTTTAAGCTGAAAATTTCCATTTAATGAAAATGTCCATTTCTTCTGAGAGTTCAAGTTATTCCACTATTGGTACTCTTAGTACTATTAGTACTATTGATGGTCATGGTGATATATTTTTATTAAGTGATTCCTCAAATGAATCTTTTAATATTGATGATGAAACAAATCAGGTATTTTGTAGTGAAATTAAAGTTTTAAATGTATTATTCAAAAAAATATTTTTTTTTCTTATTTTATTAATATAAAATATGTTTCAGAATAATGAAACAGGTCAAAGAGTTGAAAACAATATATTCAAAAATAATTTACAATTCAATAAAGAACAGAGTGCATGTAGTGCTAAAGGTAAAATAAATTATACATATAAATATAAACTCTAAAACTTACAATAATATTATATTATTATATGTATAATAATAATAAATAAATTGAAACTAGTAAGAATTTATAATAATTGTATTGCTTTAAGCCGAGGTCATACTATTGCAATTTCTTGCATTCTAAACTTGATTGCAATAAATATATATATTCAGTGTGTCTTACCATGTTGATTTGTCTAGCACTATTACATTTTTTTTCAATTGGTTTATCTTCAAGGGGGACATATATTTGGAGAAAAATTATATTTTTATTTTCATCCTCTAAACATAAAAAAAAACTTTAATTATTCACTTGATAAAATTTTCTAAATAGCCATTTTGTAAAAAAATATTATTCTAAAAATTTTAATGTATCATACATTCATATCTGATTAATAATTCCTTAATTATAGCTGGTTTAAATTCTAGAAAATAGGCGTGAAAACAAATGATATTGAATAAAAAAATTGCAAAAAATTACCGTGCTGTTAGTAATTCTTTATCATATAACATGTTATTTTATTGATTATTATTTGTTTTCATGCCTAATTAAAATGGCTATAACTAAGAAATTATTAATCAGATATAAATGTGTGATAAATTAACATTTTTTGAATAGTATTTTTTACAAAATGACTTTTTTGAAAATTGTCAAGCATTTCTGTTTAGTCTAACAATTTTTTCCACAGAGTACATATTGAACAAAAATTACGTACAAAACTTGTACAATTAAAATGTCTATAAATTACTTAAAAATTTGACCAAAATTTTTCTCCAAATATATGTCCCCCTTGAAGATAAACCAATTGAAAAAAAATGTAATAGTGCTAGACAAATCAACATGGTAAGACACACTGAATATATATATTTATTGCAATCAAGTTTAGAATGCAAGAAAAAGCAACTATAAGATTTTTGTCCAAATTTCAAGTTTCTACAAATATTTTTAATTAAATTACTACAAAATACAAAATTAAAAATAATAAAAACATTATTTTCATACATTTTCCTGTTTTTCTTACAATTTATCCTGGGTTTTCCTGATATTATGAAAACTAATTTGAAAATCAAAAAATGGCCTTCCTAAAGTACCATCTAGTCAATATTACAATATTTTTTTTGAGAAAAGATGATATATTTACATATTGAAGCAAGATTTCTAGTAAACATTCTTGTCACAGTTAAAAAAAACATCATTGTAAATCCAAAACTTACATTTTTTGCTACACTCAGAATATAAAATTTAAATTAAATTAATAATTTTTATTTTGATTCTAAATATGTATTATTTAGTTATATCTTTGCAAATTGATTGTTTCCACTTAGTTTTCCATTATTCTATCTCACCCTTGAGAGAATTTTGAAATTTATAAATGAAAAGTGTTTCATTAATTATTGTTCCAATCAAAGTATTTCCAAGATCCGGAATCATCTTTATGGCAATTGGAATCAGTTGCATTTTTACTTATTTGTACTTAAGAATTATAGATATTTTATACAACAGAAAAGAACATCACACGGCTTAAATCAGGGCCTTTCAGGGACGCACCCGTAATACATTCCCATATCTACAAATAATAATAATAATCTAAAAATAATATAAATAATTTACAAATAATACATCCCCATATCTGTTTGCAACGTCACTAACGAAAAACGATTCAGAACTTATCAGAGAAGAAGTTTGGTTAGAAATTTTGAAATACCGCAATTTTTACGATTTCCATCAAATTTTGATTTTTATATGCAATTTCCAGTGGTACTGAACTTCCCACCCCCTAAAACCAAAAAAAATATCAAATCGGATAAAAACTGTTGCTGCAATATTGTTTTCTGGAAATTATATTCAGTTAAATTTAAAAAAAAAAAATGCTTTCAATTAATTTTACCGTATTTTCTGCTGGATTTGTGTAACTTCTGTACCCGTTTGCCGAGAAACCATAAAAAATACAACTTTTACGCCAAGAAATGAAAAACTCTAAGAATAGGCCACTGAACGATTTCTATCAAACGGCGTTACAAAAAATGCAATATTTGAAAACTTGATCCACTTGCTCTCAAATGTCTTTATACCTCACTAGTCCGTTTTTTATTAGAATATATTTTATATATTTTTTTGTCCCAATAGTGTTTTCCTAACATTTGCTCAAGAATTGATAACTCTTCCTTACTTCTCAGATTTTTAATTTTTAACTGTTATAATTCATAAATGGTAAATCAGTTATTAGTGTTATGTATATTAAAATATCTAAATATCTAGACAAATATTCTCTGTTTGTATCTGTGATTGAAATAGGGGGGGGGGGTTACAAATCCAAAGTTGATTTCATTTCATGTATCCTTATACAGGAGTAAAAAGTTAAAAATAGTGTAAAAAAGAGCTTAAACGATTCCATAATAATTAAGAAAAAAAAAAAGCAAATCAATTTATTTTAAAAATGAAAATTGCTGGTTCGTAATAAAAATAAAATTAACAAAATTAATGTTAAAGTCATTTTTTCATGTTAATATTCTAAAGAGAAAAATACTTAATAAAAACGTTTTTTGATTTATAAACACCTATGATAATTTGTAAATTTGTTTATGGTTTTTAGGGGGGGGGGAAGATGAGGGTTTACTTTTGAAGTTTAAATGATAACTTATATTTAAAATTCCATAAATAGATAAATTATTAGTTTAAAAAATGTTGGTATTAAAATTTTTGATTTTTCTCAACTCATTAATGAAATATAATGTTACACTTTTTAGATATGGTAGGGGAAAGTAGTGAATTTTTAACACCAAAATGTATTTAAATTAACACTCTACTTATGTATGGAATTTTGAATAGATATTATCTTTTGAACCTCCAATAAATAAAACAGTAAAACAAATTTTTAAAAATATTTTAAATTTTTATAAATCCAAAAACGTTTGTACGATTTAAATGATAAAACAGCTGCAACATAAATTTTGAATCGCTCTGTATATACAGTCTTTTCGAGAATAACTAAACTTTAATTTAATGAATTTTATTTAATGAATCTTATTAATATCAATTGAAACTATTTGTTTTCAGATACTAAAAAAATAATATTTAATCAATCAAATGATGGAACTATTAATCATAATCAAACAGGAGAATATCTTTTAATTGGAGTAGAGAACATTTTAAATGAACCAAAAAATACTGCTATTGATGAAAATCCAGTTTTTGAAGAAGAAATTGAAAAAAAAATTGACAAAAGAAATCAACCATCAAATAAACAGATTATAATTAATTATCAGGATGATCATGAAAAATTAAAAGAGCTTTCCAGCAAGTCTTTGACAAAAGTAAATATAAATAACGATTATAAGTTTGAAAGTAATTTTGATCATAGTATACCTATTCTCTGTAAAAATAAAAACTGTAGTATATATTTACATAAATCTGAATTGTTCGATAACTTACACTGTACATTTGAGTGTAAAAAATTGAATTTAGAACAAACAAAACAATCTATCAACTCCGAAAATATTTCATGTGGACTGTTAAAAACTCCAACAGTTGAACAATCTCCAGTAATTGAAAATCCATCTAGAAAGAGAAAGCAATCATTTGAACCACTTCTTCAAAACAAAATATTTTTGACTGAATGTAGGAATGATTGTGATTATTTAAATGTACCCCATTGCAAGTTATTTACAGATGTATATACAAGTAGCAGAAGTTCTCCAAAGTCCATTGATCATTTACAATATAGTTTTAAAAGTAATAATGTCCAATTAAGAAAAACAGAAGATTTAAAAGTATCTGTAATTGAACTTAAAGAATCTGCAGCACCTGTGACAAATAATGATAATTTTTTAGATGAAGTAAAAAGTATGGTGCCATTGTTTGAATCATTTTGTGCTGAAAACTTAGACGAGCTAGAACAGTTAGAAAAATCCTATCAAAAACTATCAATAGGTTAAAATAAAAATAATTTAATAACTTAAAATAACTCCTTAAATTAATACCTACTTTAGAACAACACTATTTTATAGGTTTAATTTAGCAATATCTTGTATATGTATAAATTAATTTTATATACAATTTAAAATTTATAGATTGTAGTTCATTTTAGACTCTGTAACTATAGTAAATGTAAACACATTTTACTAAAATATTGTAAATTTTAGAATTATTGTTCAAAAAAAAATTTTTAATCCTAAATATGAAGTTGTATTTTCTAATTTATTTCCCTGTTAAAAGTGACAACATTTAAACCATTTAATTAATTTAATTTCTAATGTTTGTGCAGTATACAATGTGCATATATTAAATTAAAGTTTAAACTTATAAGGATAAGGTTATAATCTTTGCACTATTACAAAGCCTTGTAAAATGAAAAGTGTAAAGATTATGCAATTTAAGTTATCATAATAATAATGCAAGTACAATTGAATATGTAATATGAAAAAAGTATGTAATTAATTAAAACCAATGCAAATCATAACAAATGTGATTAATAATTTAAATTTTTCTTTTTAAATAATATTATAATTCACACATAATAAAAAGCCCAATAAATAAACAGTTAAGCATATTACCTATACATTCACATATTTTAAGTTAAAATAAATTGTTTTATTTGCTGTTCACACTGACCAGTCAAATAATAATTTGCTCAATATTCAACACTACCTGAAACATATGTATGTATGTATATATATTTGTTTTATATTTCACATTACCTCTAGACTAGAAGTAGACCCTGCGATTAATTTAGTCCATTTTCAGTTCATTTTCTAAGCCCTAGACAGCCATTATATAAAAAAACAAGAATTCAATGGGTAGTGTTATGTGTTGCAATTGCTCCTTTATTCCACTATTATGTTGTGAGTACAAATGTTCATTTTAATTTTATTTTAAATGCATTTTATTATCAATACAAATTAATTCTAATTAGAAAGCCAAAAAATGTATTATGAAAATTATATATTATTTTATTAGAAAATATTTATCAAATACAATATACAAATTGTAGGTAGTATACAATGCATAATAATTTACTAAAATGTGTATTACTTATTGTCCCTTCTCTGTATGATCATCAAAATAATAAAATATCAATGTTAATTATATAATAAAACTGTTAAACAAATAGTAATATAAATTATTTGTATATTTTATAATTTGTGTTATGTTTAAAATAATATTTAGATATATATATTTGTTATTAGTTTTACTGATTACCTACTTGGCTATTTTATATATTTAATACATAATTAAATTTAATTGTATATAATATTAGAAAAAAAAATGTCTTGATTAAGTTAAAAAAAACCTAGTATTTAACTTTACAAGATAGGTCAATGTAAATAAAACATTTATTATCTCTGAAATTATTAATTTTTTGTTGAAATTTAGTTTTTTAAAAGTTATAAGAAACAAATAAATCTAAAATGTTACTTTACTATTATTTTTCGAGAATGGGAGGGAGGGTGAAAACACTACCTACTTTTAATTTTTAAATAACAACCTATTTTAAAAACTTCATGTATAGATGAAGTAGGTATTAGTTTAAATACATTTTGATGTTAAATCTTCATTTTCTGTTAATTCGTTAATAAATGTCTTAAGTTGATCACTATTATGATAGTTAAAATTAAAGTATATTTGATGCTTACTAAATATCAAAAATAAAAATGAATATCATTGTTTAATTATAAATTTGAATAAAACTAGTCTACTGCATTACTGAACTATGGTTTAAAAGTTACTTTGACCACCATTATATACTATTTTCTGAATAAGACAAATAAGCCAATACTTGGCCGTGGACTAAAATCGGTCTGTGTGCACACATATCTCTACTAATTATAATAACCAATCACAGAACGTCTGGCGCTGCCTAGATGCACAGGTGCATTCTTATTCTGAAAATGGTATAGTCTTCAAGGTATTTATGTATTATGTTGTGTAATTGATATTTTTATTTGCAATCTTGAGAATTTTATATCTATCGTACTTAAACACTTAGTAGACATTTTTGTTTTATGTTATGTTTCCTATAATATTATTATTACCTAAAACTCTAAGAGATTTTCATTATAGAATAATATTAATTGTCCAACTAAATTTAAAATAAAAATACTTTTAATACTAAATACAAATAAATCTAGATTCTATTACTTATAATGAAGGTAACTTTTCTAAAAGGAAATTTCACTGGGGAAGTACTTTAAAAAGGTCAATTTTCAATTTTCTGAGTTTTCTCAGGAAATATGAAAGTTCCGAATAAAACATGTTAAAACTCGGAAAATCTGTACAATATTAAACAAACATTATTAATTAAAATATATAAAACCTATTTAATTATTTTACTATAAATGACATATATTGTTGAAAAAGCATCATTATCAACTGAACTCCACTTAGAATCATTTTTTCGTAAGCAATGGTTTATCATTGCTTACAGGTATACATCAAATTACCTGTAACAGTAACTGCGCCCATCTCTATTGTCCTAGAACGTTTTTTTCAAATAATAATAATAATACATTAGTACTGGATCAGTATATTTAAACATATTAAAAAATATCAAATCGTTGAGTATAATCATAACAAATAAATAAGAAATTTTCTTTTAATTTTGAATTAAAAAAAAAAAAAAAGACGTCCTTGGATAATGGGGTTGGGTGCAGCCACTGTTATAGGTAATTTAATGTATATCTGTAAGCAACAATAAACCATTGTTAACAAAAAAACGATTCTGAGTGCAGTTCAGTGACAGTGATGCTTTGTCAACAATATATATGTCATATTACGGTAAAATAATTAAATAATTCTCATTTTTCTTACGTTTAATCATGGTTTTTCCAAAAAATGACCTCAAAGTACTATCTGGAAAATATTTCCTTTCAGAAATGGTGCCACGCGTATATCTGAGCAAGATTTATAGTTGAAATTTTGTACAAAAAAAAGGAAAAAAATAAATATCTTAGTAAAAGCAATACATTCTTCGCTACACTCAAAATCTAAAAAAAATTAAATTAAATAATAAAAATAAAAATTGTGGAATGCAAACTAGAAATAAAATTAATAAAAATAAACAAATTGTAAACTGACGAAACAATAAAAATAAACAAATATATGTGTCTTTTTTTTTTTTTTCAACCTATATTAGGTTGGTTTACAACGTTTTTAACTTCGGCAAGTCTTTTTAATCCGGCGTGTGTATCAAACCCTACGTCATTTTTCAGTTGAGATATGTACGAGTTTCTTGGTCTTCCTGGTGGTTTCCGTCCTTCAATTGCACCTTCTATTATAGTATGATGCCATTCTTCGCCATGACATAAAACGTGTCCCATCATGTCCCATCGTCGTCGCTTTATGGCTTTAATTAAGGATCTTGTTTATCCAACTTGGGTCAATACATCTTCATTTGTTACTCTTTCTGTCCAGTTTATTTTTTCCATTCGTTTCCAACACCACATTTCAAATGCTTCCGGGAATTTTTTTTCCTTTTCATTAATAACCCATGTCTCGCAGCCGTATAAAGTGACACTCCATACAAACGTTTTTAAAAAATTCTTTTTTATTGCTCTGCTAATTTTTTTCGAAACCAAAATTTTCTTTTTCTTGATAAAAGTTGTTTTTGCTTGCCCGATTCTTTGTTTAATTGCCTGTGAACTTCTTCCGTCTGATGTTATTAGACTTTCCAAGTATTTAAAACTAGAAACTTGGGAAATAAGTTGATTTTCTAAATAAATATTTGCGTTAATAGTGGGTTCACGAGCACAAACTAAAATTTTTGTTTTACTTGAATTTATACGCATTTGATACTTATTTATAATTATTTGCATTTCTTCCAGAGCTCTCTGAAGGTCGTGCTCTGTTTCTGCTAGNCCAATCCCAAGCCTGTTAAGTTTATCTTTAACTTCCATAATACTTTTTTCTATGTAGCAGTTGAATAATAATGGTGAAAGTGGACACCCTTGTCTTACACCTCTACGTATTTTCGCACTAGCTGACTTATTATTTATTTTAATTTCTACGCTTTGATTTTTGTAGAGGTTATATATAATTCTCCTGTCTTTAAAATCTAAATTTATTTCCTTCATTATTGAGAATATAATTTTCCAATCAATGTTGTCAAAAGCTTTTTCGATATCTATAAATGATAAGCATGTATCTAATAAATATAATACAAACAAAACAATATAAATAAAAATGGTACAAATAGTGGACTGAGGCTGGAAATTAAGTGTAGCACCTTTTCTGAAAGACATTTTTATCTACTTGGTCGTTTTTTGATGTTCCAACTTGCATGTGGTTTTCATAAAAATTGGGAAAAAACAAAAAAATTTAACGAAAAGAATTTTAATAACAAATTTTGACGAAAATCGTAAATATTACGGCATTTTAAAACACGTATAGCAGAACTTCGCACCAAATCGTTTTTCGTTAGAAATGATTTATCGTTGCATACAAATATAAATTATATTTGACTTTATATCCTACCTTCTAAACTTCTAACCTAAAACAGCGGCTGATTCATTGTGCGAAATATTTGCGTTTTTTTTTAAATATAATATATTAAACTATCCCTAAACATCTATCTCGTCAACTGAGACCGCTATTCATTGCCGCGCCCCGGCACCTGAGAAAGCCATTTAGTTAAATAATATTCAACCAATTCAGTGATAGTTAAATTATAAAGATTAATTGACTAATTTACTCAATTAAAGACTAATGACTAATATTTAGTAGACTAACAAATAATAACTAATTTTTAGTCTGATTGTACACTTTCATAATATTTGTATAAATAGGTATTTGAAAGTTGTAATAGACAATAATATTCTGAATTAGAGCTAGATTAGGTGATTTAAACCAATAGTACTCAACATCCAACTAGCCCAACTAATAACATATTATTTTATAAGGGGTAGTATAGTACTTAGAGTACCATCATCCATAACACAATTTTTGAGTCATGGTTAGCTTTTTACCACTTATCTGAAAGTTATAATTCCTCCAACAGAAATTCAGACCTAAGTAGGTCTTACTACATAACTGACAATCTTTCTCACCAAAATATGAGAAAAACATGAAATCTGAAAAAAATATAGTTGACAAATTGTGAAGTATAATATTGGTTACAACACAAGTCTGATGGTAATTAAAATATAAGATTTTCTACTTATTGTACTTTTTATTTTTATAAAATCTGCAAAATAGAATATCATTATTTGTCCAATTTAATAACTATGTTTCGGGTTCTTTGTGCTCAACTTATGATTCTACCAGCCTGTGAGCCATTTGACACATGCTCATACTAAAATTTGTATTGTTTACTTTTCTAAAATAATTCAATGTTGTGTATAAATACAATTAAGGATTATTAGTCGAAAAAGTTAAAATATTTCCTTATTTTTTTTTCAGTTTCTATTTTATCAACTCCATAATAAATTATATTTCTTTTTTATAGTGTACAGTGTACACCACCATCCCTTCTTAGAAAAAAGCAACTACATTTAAAAACAAAAAAAAAAAAAAACTATCTATATTTTAATTTTCAGTCATTGGTTTTCTTGTGTTTTAAAATAAAAATGTATTTTTTTTTCTATCCTTAGTAAACAACCCTACTACAAGAAATCTTGCCATGACCATTAACTATCATTAAATGTGTAGGATGTTTCCAAAAGAAAATTTTGTCTAATTGGTGCATTAAATAGTTAATTTTTTAGTATTCATTATAGTTTTCATAATAGTTGGAAAAAAAAAGTTAACACAGGAAAATACACACAATAAAGATCTCTGCTATTTTTAACTTTGTTTTCGTGTTGTAATATTCAATCAACAATAATTGTAGAAATTTGAAATCTTCATCAAATACTTATATTAGTACTTTCTAAATGTGGTAAAATATTAAACATTTTTGAACTATTTATGGGCATTTTACATTTTCTTGTTTTATTTTTGTTAATTTTACGCAGTTAAAATTGTTTTGGCTGAAATGATAGAAAATTTAAAATCAAGATCATCATAAATTGCATTTCTAGCAGTAAAAAAAAAAAGTTTAGCACACAAATTTTGACGAAAATAGTAAAATAACAATATTTCAAAACACAAACATAATATTTATTACTATCTACATACATAATATTCACCTTCCTCTAAATCCAACCTACAGCAAAAGCATACACATCTGCAGTATTAGCCCTTATTTTAATGTAATTATGTGTTATGAATAATATTTATTGGGGATTCAAGATTTATATTGTACCTACAGCTTACTTTTAAGTTATACTGTAGACTCTGAGACTTTTAGCTCTGAAAAGTAACAAAATATGCTTTAAAAACAACCAATTATAAACAATTTTTTTATTGAAATTGTATAATAAAAACTTGACATAATTAAATTTATTTTTTTTTACTTTTAATGGTTCTGCAAAAGTGTTGAGTTCTGAGATGAATAATTCAAGTTATTGATTAAATTTTATACTTATTTATTAACTAAATTAACTATTTTATAATAATCAATTTGACAATGTTATTACACACCAGAATGTATGAATTTGAACAATGTAAATCGTAATAAGTATGTATAATATGTAGCATATGATTATTTAAAATACGAGTATTAAATGTCCTTTTTTAGCACTTAAAAGCTAATCATTGTAACTACTTAGATAATTATTTAAAGACTAAATGAAAAAAAAATATAGAAATATATACTAATCATATTTATCTGTTGAGGTATAAATTTAGGTATATTGAGGTATTAAATCAAAAATTGAAATAATACAAATACCAAAAATATAAACAAATTAATTGTGAAATCTACATTATAACAAGAATTTTACTATGACATTGATTATAAGGGTTAAAAAAAAATCAGTTTACTACCCTAACAAATTACTAGTGTCATTTAAGACTTATAACATAGATACTTCAATATACTTTATAATATTATCCACAATATATCAGTAATTTCTATACAGTTTCAAATATTTTGTATTATTATTTTATTATTGCTATTTAAAAATGTGTTAATCTTGATAATTAAATTATAATATATTATTATTATTATTTATTTATTGTTAATATTTGATTAACAAAAGTTATTTATAGAAATTAATTTTAAGTGTAACTAAATGATTTTAGTATATTGACCAAAATAATAAATTAGATAAATTAATAGTTTATAGCTAATATAATTATTAAGTAATTACCACATCACATATTCATTATGGTTTATTTTGGACAAAGAAGGAAAAATATATTAAAATTTGTATTATAACTATTTTGAGCCAACTATGATTCAATGTGATTACATAAGATTTATTTTGTATTTTTATTGGAATGACATACCTAGTAAATAATTTAAAACTTAACTTAAACTGAATGGAATAAATTACTAATAAAAACTAATAAATTTCAATTGAAATTAATCTTAACTAATTCATTTTTAAATAGAAACTGCAAGAATAAAATATTTAAATGACAAATAGAATATTTGTCAATTATTTAATGAAAAATTAGCATCAGTGTACATACAAATAGTTCATATATAATACCGAAATAGTTATCAGAAGTGAGTTAGAAGAAACACATAAATACTTTTTAGTATATATATAAAAAAATTGTATTGTATTTTACATTTTCAAAACTCTTCTTCACTATTATTAGTTTTAGATAAGCTGAGTTTTGAAAATCTTGTAATCGTCTCTTCAATACTGACTTCACCATGTACATTATTGTTTCTTGATCGAATGTTCACAGTGTTTGCATTTTTTTCCATCTCTCCAACCACTAAAATAATAATTTATTAAAATCACTCGTTTTTATCATCATTAATGAATTAACAAAATGCTAACCAAGAATGAAATTGTACTGGGCCAATTGTGCATTGCGGATTTTCTTATTTAAAGTATCACCATGATCAATATCTACATCACACATAAATCCAGCTTCATATATTTGTTTTTTTACCTAAAATAAATGAAATAATATTAATAAAAAAAAAAAAAACAATTATAAAGGAATAAGTTAAGACTTGCTTTTTCAGCATATTCATCATACTGGACACCAATAGAAATTACAATTGCTTGTCTAGGTGATAACCAAAATGGCCATTTTCCTCCGAATGATTCTGTTAAAATAGCAATCATCCTTTCTACTGAACCAAATATGGCACGATGTATAATAACTGGACGTTTTTTTTCTCCAGATTCACTGGAATATTGTTTTTTATTACATAAATTATTGTAAAATTAAAAACTAAAAATTTGATTAGATACCCATTATGTAAACAACTAATAATTACCAAATATAGGATAAATTGAATCTAATTGGAAGCTGAAAATCGAGTTGAATAGTGGCACACTGATGTTGACGTTTCAAAGCATCAGAAATAGTTATGTCAATTTTTGGCCCATAAAATGCACCATCTCCTGGATTTAATGTCCATGGTTCACCAAATTCATTTAAACTATCAGCTAATTGCTAATAAAAAGGTTTAAGCGAAATTGATGTTTAAAAACTTAAATAATAACACAAAATACTATTAAATGCCAACATGTATTTTAAAAATACCTTTTCAGCATTTTCCCACATTTCTAACTCTCCTAGATATTTATCAGGTCTAGTAGATAAACGCAAGTTGAAAGTAAATCCAAACACTGTGTATACATGTCGTAAGAAGTCCAACGCGCTCATCATTTCCTGTCCAATCTAATTATCCAAATTGAATAAGTTAATAAAATATTAATTTAAAATAATGTACTGGAATCTGTTTTTTAAACCTGATTAGTTGTGCAAAATATATGAGCATCGTCTTGTTGGAATCTCCTAACACGTGTTAATCCTGTCAATGCCCCTGACAATTCATTACGATGAAGCACACCAAAGTCAGCCATTCTAAGTGGTAGTTCTCTCCATGATCTATTACGTTGATCAAACATCAAACTGTAAATAATTATTGTACAGTGTTTTAATATTTAACACATAAACATTTTTTATTTTAGATTAAAAACGCAATCACAACAAATGTAATAAACTCAGTATACTTATTTAATGAATTAAAAATCTAAAATAATGAAACAGTTTTAAATTAAAGTAAAATTAAACGTATTAAAGTGGCTAAATATATTTTAAATCAATTTATTATACAGTATCCTGCAATATTTTCCAGGTGTTAATAACTCAGTTAATATTAAAAAAAAATTTCCATCTCTTAATCACCAAAAAAATGTTGTCACTTGTCAACATTTTTAAAAATTATTTTGAAAAAGACATTATTCTAAATATTCTAATGTACTATATATTAAAATGCAATCAATATTTTCTTATAGATAGCTGTTTTAATTTTTAACAAAATAAATAATTTGTAATATGTACAGAATAAATTGAACCATGAAGTATTATTACCTGTATCATCATGGGAATTTATTGAATACGAATTTTTCACATCTCTTTTCTAGAAATTAAAATAGCTAATACTAAGAAACTGTTAGAAACTGTTGTTTTAGAATAAAATTTGTATTAATATTTATTACAAATCAGCTATTTTAAAAATTTTAAATACTGAAATAATTATTTTTTTTGGTGGTTGAGAAAGTTATATTAAAAATTTAATTTTTCTCTGGATACTTGTATGCCCCTTAAAAAAATAAATATACAATTTAAATTTTAACATTTTGAAAATTCTGTAGGACGCCTATTAATTTTCAAAATAAATATGAAACTGATTTAGTGAAAATGTTCTAAACCAATTGAATATATAATTAAATTAATATCATAAAATTGAATCAAATTTAATTCACCAATTATAATTTTAAAGTTTAAATTTAAATTTAATGGAATATAAAAACAGAAATTGAGCTGTGAATTTTAAAACAATGTAATAACAATTGGGCAAACAATATACATGCAAACTAGGGTTAAGAGATAAGTTTTCAAGTATGCTTATAAATTATAGTGTCAAACCAATTTCATTTCTATTTTAATGCCATAATTTAAATATAAACTTACTAACTAATGATACAATCATAATTCTGGCTATAATTTATTTATATTTTATCTAATGTATAATTTTTTATTGATTATTATTACTCAATTGTATGTTTTACTTAATTGTGATTTTAATAGTGTTTAGTATTTTAGATAGTTATATAGTTTAACAAATACCTATTTGTTATTTAATAAATAAGAGCATTCATACTGTTCTCAATATAACAGCTTTTTTTATAATACATCTATATCACAATGAAAAATAATTTGGTTATACCAGATTTTCTTACATAATTTATTATAGTCTTGATTATAAAACAAATAAATAAAAAAAAAACTACACAAAATATGTAGTATGTTTATTTAAATATACTAAATATGCATACCAATGTCCAGGACAGTTCATTGGTTTCAATGCGTATGATTCTTTCTCCACATCAAATGAAAACATATTTTCCTAAAAATAAATTTTAATTAATTATAAAAATAATCATTATTTTAACATTATTCATTATTATTTTTATTTATTGAAAAAATATTAAAATACTTGATAATCAGACAAGATACCAACCATATTATTATTTTTAAGTGAAATAAATAAAATACAACCTTTAATTTTTATAATATAAAGGTAAAAAAGGTATTTAACATAGAAAATGCATTACACACTTATGAAGTTACGAATAAAATAATCCGTTTTTACCAACACAAAGTATACTTACAGAATAATGTGCCCAATGACCAGACAATTGCCACAATTTAGTATTGTAAATATTTGGAGAAATCACTTCTGTAAATCCACGTTTTCTATACTCACTCTTAATGAACTGAATTAAAGTGTTATAAATATGTGCACCCCTTGGTTGAAAAAAACAAGATCCAGGACTTAATTCATGAAAGAAATAAAGTTCTTGTTCCTAATGAATAACAATACAACCATTAAGTTTTCATCATTGTACTTTAATTATGATGAAATTACTAACTCTTCCAATTTTACGATGATCTCGCTTAGCAGCTTCTTCCTGGAATTTCTCCCATTCTTTCATTTGTTTGTTTTCCAGAAATGAAATACCATATACACGCTGTAACGATTCTGCTTTAGCATTTCCTTCCCAGTAAGTAGCAGAGTTCTTTGTTTTTTATAAAAAGATAAATTTAAGATTTCATTTTAGTATATTATAATTTATTATTATTTTATCAAAAGAATATAATATAATTAATAGTTTTTCATTTACTTTAATAACTTTAAAAGCTTTCACTTTTCCTGTGTGGCGAATATGGGGTCCCCGACATAAATCAATTAAAGGTCCACATTTGTAAATAGTAGTTGTTGGTGTTGTAACTTTTTCTTCGAGGATCCTCACTTTAAATTGGTTGTACTAAAATATAAGAACATGAGATTAGAAAATAACTTTTTCTTTCTTCCAAGTAATAAAATATTTCAAAAAATTGTATTTAAAATAATTTCAATTACAGACATCGTAGTTATGATACTAGTATTCTAAATTCAGATACCTAAAATAAATCTTTACCAAAGAAAAATGTTTAGTAGGTTGTAAAGTTAAAATATTATGTATAATTCAGTTAAAATATTCTGGTAAATTAAAATTAATTAATGTTATCAGTTTATATTATTTTGAGTATATTTAAGTACTTTAAACATTTCCAGTAGATCCTCTTTAGTGACTTCAAGCCGTTCAAAGGGTTGTTTTTCTTTAATTATGTGTTTAACTAAATTTTCAATAACCGGATAATCAAAGTTCGACACCTAAAATAATCAAATATTTATCAGATGTTGAAATTTTCTGTATACTAATAAGCATGTTAAAATAATGCTATAATTTTACCCCCTTTTCACCAATAAACATATCGTAATAAAACCCTCCTTCAATTGGTGGCCCATAGCATAAACAACCACCATAGATTCTTTCCATTGCTTCCCCTAACATATGAGCTGATGAATGCCAAAATACTTGTTGTGCCTCTTCATTATCAATTTTAAGTAATTGTAAATTTGTATTTGTTTCCAGTGGCCTATCCATGTCCCAGAGTTCACCATTTACTTTAGCAATAATTGAATTGTCGGCAAGTCCTTGGCTGTATACACATTTTTAAATTGTATTTAACATTCATACATGATATTAGAACAATGAGTTATTTATGCAAACCTGATGGATTTAGCTACATCATAAGGAGTAGATTTCCAAGCAATTGCATCAGCTGTTTTACCATCCGGGAAAGTGACAGTTATGGGTTCCAAGACCTTATTAGCAAGTTCAGCTTGTTGTTGTTCTTTAAGTTTATTCCAAAGCTTCAATCGGTCCTATTTAAAAATTCAAAGATAAAACCATATTGAAATATGCAATGCATACTACTATACATATACATATACAATACCTTTTATTATACTATATTTTTTTTTTTTAATAAAATTTCTCTATTTTAAAATTTTTTTAAAACTAATAATAAAAAAATTATTTTTAATAAAATTATTAAAAATGTTGAAACAATTTGGTGATACAAATATTTACTAATGAATAGTTAAATTTCTACAATGTTTGAAATTTACAAAAATCATTAACACAATTATATTTTATAAACAAATCAGTGAATCAAATGATATTATTTAATAGTAAGAACAAAAAAATGTACATGATCTTCAAAAAAATAATAGGTAATAATTAACTAACCAATTTTGATAATGATAATGTAGTAAATTTTAAATGTAGAAATTTTAATTGTAGAAACTTAACAATTCACACCATTAGTAAATATTTGTAATATCCAAATTTTATTTCAAAATATATTTACAAAATTACTCTACTAAATATTATGTATTTTTTTTTTTAATTTAAATTTTTTTATTTGTAGTTAATTTAAAAATACAAACTAGAAGGATCAGCACTTTATTAATTATAACAAAAAAAAATCTTCATAAGACACCTTGTATAGTGTTGATAAACAATTTTTTAATATTTTTTAAAAACTTTTAATTTTAGTGTAAACAAAAATAAATGATGTGTAGATTTAATTAGTAAACATTGATAAAGCATTACAAAACATCCTTAAAACTGAAATAGAGAAAACTATTAATAAATAGTTTGAATTAATTGAAAAATTATAACAGTTATTATTAATCTAACCTCAATGTAAGAAGGCCAAGGTTTTAATTCTGAAACTGAAGATTGTGGTTTTCCTTCCTTTTCCTTTAACGCCATTTTTCGCTTACTTGGTTTCTAAAATAAAAACCATAAAATGAAATAATACAATTCCTTTAGGTACCAACAACAGTATTATTACATAATAAATGTATTAAAAATAATGCAATTATTACAGCTAGAAAAACAATATTACAGTAGAAATAATTTTATGGCCTGTCATAATATATTTATTACTAAGAAAAGAAAAAAAAATCAAAATAAGTCCATTATTAGATAATAATGAAATCAAGAAAACATATTATATAATATATTATTTTTATTGTAATAAAATCAAATCTATAAAATAATTAATAATTGATAAATATTATTCTTACTTGGTATTTTGGTAACCTTAATACACGAACTGCTTGTTTACCAGAAAATATTGTTCGATGAAAATTAAATAATAACTTCAAATGCATTAATTTCCTATGGAGTAAAAAATAAAATAATATTAATAAAAATATTATAATACCTATTCGAATTATTACCTATATTAAAAACAAAACACAGAATCTCATCACAATATTACAAACTAGGTACAATTTACTAGGTATAATACAGACATTAATGTAGAAATCAATCAACATTAGATTTCAAAGATGGTTAAACATGTTAAATACTTAAATCTAATTCATATTTAGTTAATTTAAAACAGATTCTAGGATTATAAAAAACAATGCTTATAACGGATAATTATTCACAGATTTATAATAAATATAGGTGTAACTTACAAAAGTTAATACTTTTTATAGGTGCAGAAAATTTCTTGTTTATGTTCTACAGTATTAAAAAAAAAAAAATTGTTTAAGTAAATAATAATGCATAGTCTTTTCAAAATAAGAATTAAAATATCTTAAATATTAAGTATTTTATATTTTATTGATAATTAGTATTTGAGAAAAAAATTTAAATACAATTTTATTAAGAGAATACCTACTATGAAATCAACTATACAAATAGCTCTAAAAAGTATTAAAACATATTTTATGTACATTTCAACATTTTAAAAAAATGTAATAGGTAAGTTTATAGAAAACTATTTATAAAGTAGGTACATTTATTCAATAATATAATAGAAAGTACAGAGTGATATTAATTTAATATATTTATTTTATACAACTCATTTCACAAATAAAAAACATAAATTGTTCATATAACACTAAATATCTATATATTAGGTTTAAAACTTTTAACGAAGTATTGAAATGTATTATACAAGTAAAGTTTATAATATATTTTGTATGGGGTAGGCCACTGTTGTTGGTGTAAAGTTGGGAAGGTGGATATAAAAATGAATTTAATTTATATCTGTATGCAACGATTAATCATTGTTAGGTTAGGGATCCAAACGAAAAACGGTTCTGAACAGAGCTTGATCAATAGTATTTCTTTTTCAATAATGTACGTTTTTACAACAACAATTATTTAAAAAAAAGATTTAAAGATTAAAATAATAAAAACTTAATAATAACAAAATATAAATAAAAACAGTTGCAATAATAACCTTATTTTTAATCTTTTAATCTATTTTAACTTTTCCTCATTATCTTAAATATTAATCAGAATTTCAAAAAATGACCTCCTTAATGCACCAACTATACTCCAGCCCACGAAAGATCAGTACAGCTATTCGACCAAAACTTGTCAGATTCCATGCATCCCCCACTCATCGACTTACAGACAGTGTGAAATAGAGCTCTGAACTGTCACTGCCAGTCATTCTGCATGCGTGTGAAGGTACTGATCTCTTGTGGGCCAGAGTATAGAGCCAAAATGTCACATCAAAGGTCTACATAAAGAGTCATATTTCAATTGGAGCAAGATTTCTAGAAGAAATTTTGTACACGGTATAAAAAATAATAAAATCACTGTAAAATATAAATTCTTTGCTTTATTTAGAACCTCAACTAATAATTTCTTAATTAATTCATAGGTACAAATTTAGTCAATTCACAAATGTAAGTACCAATATATTATCTGTACTTATTGTTTTGCTTGTACATCAATTTTAGTTCATTTATGTTGAGTAGACAAAGAAGTTATAAAAGTATAAAATCATATTTTGGCAGAACCAAAATATATATTTCTATTCAATATATGATTAAAAACTGAAGAATATCTTAAAATAATTATTTTTATTATCATTTATTTGTAGGTACCTATTTGTCCCAAACAAGGAATGAATGAATTCTGACATTCGTCTATTTATTCCAGCGGTCCCTATTACGCAGCCCTTTAACAAATGTTGTGTGACTCACGCAAACTAAATTGTACATTCTAAAATTTAATACTATTGTAAAGAAAATAAAAATACATAATTTTTGATTTAAGTATAATGTTATATGAAATAACTTTTATTTATCTAATCTTATATTATTCATGTTTATTATATCGTTTCTACTTTTATTGAATCATCGGTATGACAGATATTTAGGTACATTAAGCATTTAAAAATTATTACTCGACCCACAGTGATCATTTATTTCCATCACTCAGCGTAGTCTTGAAATTCACTATAGCTGAATCCAATATAAACGATCTTATATCTAAATACCAATAATACAAAGGAGTCACTGCCAATAAAAATGAAGAAAACCAAATTAGTTAAGCAACAGTAACAGAAATAGGCTAATGAAAACTATCAAAAATTAAATTTTATTAAAAACGAAAAATTCTAAAATAATCAATCAATTTTATTTTATATATATATTTATATATACCTATAACACAAATAATATGGCTTTACGTGATTAAAATCCGTTACCTATACCTATACCTACATTAGTATTAAACAAATAAAAATGTATTGCTTTAAATATACTTAAATTTAATTATTTTAGAACAAATAATTTGTATCAGTTCGTTGACACACAAAACAAAATATAATAATAACAATATTGTTGATTTTGAAAAGTATCATAAATCCATAACATAACCGTATATTGTACCTACTGCAATTAGTACATAGGACCTTAATCAATAATTTTAAATACTCACCGAAAATAAATTTTGGTAGTCTTAATTACATCAAACAATAGACGCACAGAAAAAACATTTCTCATACGACTACTCGCACATAAATTCGCCGTGTCGGCATTGAAAAACGAAATATGAGATAGACAAGTTTTATTGATCGTCACCGTATACCCGTGTCGCATTACTACCACACGATGACGTGTTTACTATCAAATAATATGTACATTATCTTATCACCGGTCCACATGAAATAACCTTCAAATATAAATTGGCGGTAATTTAAAATGTATGACCAAAACAATATTATACACAATAATATTATGTAATTTTAAGGTGTTCCAAAATGTTCTTGAATGATGGTGTTACAATATTAATATGGGGAGCGCGTAAAAAAATTGAAATAAATCAGCTGAATTTCAGCCACCAAATATTTCTGCTGAACAGTATTTAAGACGAAAAATATTTTAACTGAACAATATTTAAGCTAAAAGTATTTTATCCGAAAATATAACAGCCAACCATAAAAAAGACTATAAAAAATATATAATCAAGGATAAAAAAGCCACAGACAAAATTGCCAAGAGCAAAAATCTAAGATAAAAAAGTCACGAGACACAAAAGCCGTTTATTAATGACGTAGTTATTCGCTAAGAAAGGATTTTTGAAAATTCATCCCCAAAGGAAGTAAAATATAATACGTCAAATTTTAGCCTCATCCGTCCAATGGTTTGGACAAGGCGATGTTCAATCAGTTAGGACATATTTTTAAATATACTGTAGGTATAGTAATAATGTATAGATTATAGAAGACAGATTAACACCTACTATATAAAAAAATATCTATACAGAAATTTTTAAACGGACGAGATTAAGTGAATTTTAATTAAATATTAAGTAAACCACAGTTCACAAATAAAAGATTCGTACAACTTTTTCGTCAACTTCAGTTATTGTAGTGAAAGTAGGTATAGGTAGGTAGGTATAAGTAGGTATACCTATACATTTTTATTATTTTATTATTATTGAAAAATATGACATGCCTACTTAATACAAAATGTACAATACAATTTGATTCATTTACCCAAAAAAGCGTTAATTGTGGTACAAATGAATTACAAAAACACAAAAAAAAGAGTAGATACTGGGAATGGGTGTAACCACTGTTGTAGGTGGGTATTTGGGAAGATGAGATACTTAAAGTGATTTAATTTATAGTAGAAATTAAATTGTATACCTAATACATATAACCAACAATAAATCATACCTATGATAGCCACCTGGCTAACAAAAAACATTGGACTTTTCAAACCTACCGGAGAAACGGCCAAATTAATTCACAATAATATTGTGTGTTTTGAATAAATGTGAACTCGAACAAAAAATAATAAACTTAGGAGATAATACTAACACACATTTTGGCAATATTGCAAGAAAAGACAAAAATAATTTATTTTTAAAATTAAAAAATGCATTAAAACGTAATATTTTGGGATAAGGCTGCTGTGCACACGTAATACACAACAGTATTCAGTATGCTGCGGATAGTCTTCTTATTAATATTAAAACAAGAGTTTGTAAAATATTCTTCAAAATATATGTCTGAAGTATTGCCTTCTATGGCTGTGAAACTTGGACTCAGTACAGTAGAGAAAAGGAGACTAGAGACCTTCGAAATGTGGTGTTATCATAAAATTTTAAAGATTTAATGGACTAAAAAAATAATGAATGAAGTAGTATTAGATAGAATAAAAGAAAAGAGAGAAATTTGGGATACCATAAAAATTAGAAGAGACAAAATGATAGGACATCTACTACGCCATGATAGCCTAAGAAGTTTATATCAGAAAAGGAAGACAAAGGATAAAGTATATGAACCAAATTATGATAGACATGGGGAAGAAATTATACTCTTCATCAAAATAGTGCCAGGACTACATTTTTGACAAGCATGAAGCCAACCACATCTTATCATATTAAAAATTTGTTTAAATTTGTATGATATAAATAAAAATGTGAAATACTTTGTAATTATATTGGGTATGTATGGTTATAATAACCAATTTGTCATAATAGGTAAGGTTTCATAATTTAAATATAAAACAATATTAAGTTATATTGGATTATTTTAAATACAATTATTAACAGTAATGTATGATGGATGATGGATTGGATAATGCAACTGATATACACACACATTTTAAACAATACAACAAACACAATTGTGCAGAAAAAAATCTTTTTTTTTTATTTTGAAAAATTTATGACAGACTTGATATTTTATATCTTATAACTTTTAAGCTTATCACAATACATCAATTATGTATTTTATTTAAATAACTATATACATTATTTTATATAATTAATATTATCTAATAAAATTAATTGTATAAAAAAAAAAATTGATAAATATTCATATTTATAATATTTTGTAAAAGTTCAAACTCGGGCTTGTGTTAACACATATTAATATAATTTAATTGACTTGTAGTTTATTTTTAGAAATCGCAGACTAAAAATTTGACCCGAGCTTGAAAGAATTTGGGTATTTTAAAAACAAATGGCACATAATATGATAAAAGTACATTTTTCAATATGTGAAGTACAACTTCACTTACAATCATTAATTATACAAAATATAATTTTTAAAATGTTATTGTTAATTGGATATTTAAAATAAAAATTCTGAAACAGATTGTTGAAAATTATATAATTATATTGCCAATAATATTTATTATTGGTAGTGATAAATATGTATAAAAAATTATATTAGTATATATTGATTTAATAGTTTGAAAACTAAAAATTAGATACTATTGACCATAAAAAAATCACATACATTCTGTACAAACATCAAGAAATTAATATAAATTATTTTTACACATCATAAGTATCAATTCAAAAATAAATAACTTAAATTTTAATTAGGGTATGAATCCCGTACATTGACATACTATAAAAATAAATAATTTTAGTATTCAATTATTGTGAACTTAAATAAAAAAAAAAATGATTTGGCAAAAATAACACATAATCCTAAACAGTAATCATTTTGGTAACAAACTGAACTTTTATATTACAAACAGGACATCTATTGGACTTGCGCCGAATTTGCTTAGCACACTGGTAGCAGCTAAAAATATGTCCAATTTTTCCGTGGTTAAAAACACCATTTTTTGGGTTAACTAAACATATGTTACATAGGTTTTGAGTTAATTCAACGTTGTCAGCACTAATTGTTTTTCCATTTTGAGAATTATCATTTTCTTCTGGAGTCAAAGTATCTGAATGTTGAGAAAAAAATACACCAGAATCTTGAGCATCTTTTAATTTGTTTTTACAATTAGATTTTTTGGAAAGTCTTTTGTTTTGACGCTTTGGGTTTGGTTTGTTCTTAAAAAATTCCATACGATTCTAAAAATGTCAAATAGTATTATTTTATTACACATGAAATACCATTATTACTAAATTCTGGAAATATATATATATATACAGGGCAATTAACATAACATGAGACACTTATTATCTTAGAAAGTATAAACTTTATTCATTATTAGCTTTTTAAAACATTTGAGAAATTAGTTTTAAAATGTTACATTGATTTATTTTTACTGCATATATTAATGGAATTATCAATCAAAAAAAAAAAAAAAGAGTAATGTACAATTTGAGAGTTACTAATTGTCTTAAGTTATGTTGATCACTTACAAAGGTTTGGTTCTGTTCAGTTGGAAATTTGAACTAGAAAATATTTGTCACACCAGACTTACTGGTTTTGACAGTTATTTTCATGTCTATAGAAATTATTTTTAAAAATTATTAACATTTTAATGGTATAATGTTATAAATATTAAGATCTAATTAATCATTAAAAACTGAGTATGTACCTAACTTAGATTTTATCAGTATTAATTTATCAAACTTTTTTAAAATATAATTATAATTTTGACTTACATAAAATTTAAATTTAAAGTAATAATAAAAAGTAATTGTAATTATTGTTGGTTTATATTTTATATCTATATGAACAAATTTAAATTAAAGTATAATTGGAAATGCTCATAGGATTAATTGGTTTTTTTCAAAAAATATGGTTAATGTTTAGTTACCCATTAGATTTGATGTTAAAAATCAAGATTTGATCAATCACTATAGTTATAAATTATAATAATTAATAGTATACTAGTTTAAGTTAGACAGTAGTGTCTTTATTTTTGGATCTATCTATCCTACAATAATTATGATATTTCCAGTTACAATGATATTAAATTAAAAATACTCAAATATTAATATCCGGGAATAAATTTATAAGTATCTATAGTGTGAAGATTTAGTAACAAATTTATAGAAAATAGAAATAAAAGTGAGGCATTAATATCTAAAAACCAGTTTGGTGTGTGTGAGACATGTAGTAAAAAAGTACAGAGAAGAATAAAAACCAATTAATGGTTTTGGTTTTGGTTAATGGATTCATACAAGACATATGGCAAAGTGTGGGAAGAGGTTCTGATGTGAGCATTAATAATAAAAGGAGTTCCGAGATATGTATATTAGTTTAATAAAGGATATGATGTATGAAGGTTCAAATACGAGTTATGAGTGTAAGAAGTGTTTGTGGATTAATAGAAGATTTTGTGGTTGGAGCAGGAGTACATCAATGTTCAGTCTTGAGCCTTAACATGTTTTTTGTTAAATGAAGTTAAGAAGGGAATAAGAGGAGATACCCAAACTAGGGTGCATGGTGATTGCAGATAGTATAGTTTTGATAGAAGAAAATCTGGCAAAAGTTAACAATAGGCTTAAAGAATACAATTTAGCAATTGAAACAGGAGACTGAGAATAAGTAGAAGTAAAATTGATTATATAGGGTATGAGATAAGAATAACAAGACAGCTAATGACAATAAGCAGTAAGGATTTTGTGTATAAAAGAATGCTATGAAAAGGATGTAAAACATAGGATTAAGTGTGGTTAGATAAAATCAAGAGAAGTGCAAAGTGGTTTGAATAACAAAAAGATTACAATGAGACTTAAAAATAAATTCTAAAACAGTTTTATGGACCAACTATATTGTATAGTTGTAACAGAGTGTTGAGCTGGAAGTAGAAAAATAGAACAGAGAATGAGTGTAGGACATATGAGAATGTTTAGGTGGATGGGTGGAGTGATGAGAGAAGTTAGGATAAAGAATGAGTAACTATATGAGGTAGCTTAAACATAGCTTTGATAGTAGACAAAATGAGAGAGCATAGATTTAGATAGTTTGTGTATGTAATGGAGAGAGAGATTTTTGAAGTAGTAAAAATTTTAATAAAAATAAAAAAAAAAGGAGAAGACTAAAATAAGTAGTAGGATGTGATTAAAGGCTGGTTTACACAAAGCAAATGTTCAAGATTTAAAATTGCTACAAACATTCACTCAAAATTAAACAGATATATTTAAGTTAACATATATACACCACATGAATATAGGTCCCGAACAATCCCAAGAAATCGCTCTTGTTTAATTTTAGGTGAATGTTCCAAGATATCTGCACTACTAAATATAAAATAAAAAATAATTATTTGATTTGAAAATTGGCAGGAAATAATGTTTCCTGGTCATTTGTATTGAGTGATTAATAGTCTGACGGTTCTCAACCTTTTCATATCCACTACAATTAACACATTTTGACATTTTTTCATGTACCACTTGATATGATTATTCAACTTTTTTTTTACTTATCAAAAAATGTCTACAGTGTGGAACTGAAATAAAATTAGAAATTAAAAACCACTGTGACTCTAAATCATATTCTTCATATGAACATTTGCTTCATGTGAAACAGCTTTAAGAATGATATGAGGATGGCTGGTATATGTAGAAAGATGTGAGGATTGGATTAAGTGGAAATTTAGGACAAAAGTGGGTGACCGCAAGTTAGGAATAAGGTAAAGGAGAAGAAAATTAAATTAACATAAAATAATATGTATATTATATAAGCATAAAATGAATAAACAAATTGATCTATGTAATAAAAAGATAAGATTACTTACTCTGAAACATATAAAACAATACTGGAAATATGGATTTGGGTTTTCCTTTCTGCACTGTAGACATGTTTGAAAGCATGCTGGAGGTGGTAAATTTGTACATTTAATAGCGCCTTGGATGTCTGTATCATCAGGCAAGTATCCATTATCACTACTATTTGAAAGTTCATTCAATATTATACATTTGTTTGGGACCTAAATTTAAATAAATTGTCTAATTATTATAGGTAAAAAAAAAAAAAAAACAATTATAATATTTTATCATGAAGTCTTATAATTAATGGTTTACTTAATATGTATAGTGTTAACAGTAATGAATTCAATAATCTAATAATTCAATATCTATAGAATGTTAATAAAATATAATTTTAGTTTAAGGTATTAAATATGGTATTAGTTAGTTTAGCCTTAATCATAAAAATAACTAAAATAATAAAATTTAATTTGCATAAGGTGTTAAAAAAGAGACATAATACTTCATTGATGTTGTAAATTTCAAATTGAGAAGGTAGGATATAGAGAGGAATTTAATTCATAACTGTATGATTAATCATTGCTCATAAAAAATGATTATAAGCAGATTTCAATTATATATATTTTAAAAGGCTCAAATGTTTAAACTTTTTGTCAAAATTTGATATTAAAATAATTATTATAAAAAAAATGTACATTAGATTTTTTTTTTTACCACAAAGTAAGACTTCTAATGAACCTCTTGTTAAATTTTCAATAATTTCTGTTTGGTCTTATGATTAATCACAGAGTTCCTATTTACATTGTATAAATTATGTAAAAAACTCACAAAATTAAAATGTCTGTCAACAGCTCAAAAATAAATTAAATATTTTTAAAATTGTATGACATATCGAAAAAGCAAATGTAAGTTTTCTGTCCACATTTCAATTATCTATACATTTTTAATTGAATTACAGCCCAAAAACTAAATTGAAAATAATTCTGATAAATTGTCTAGTTTATATATATATATTTACTTTTGGAATTTTTAAGAGTAGTTAAAGCCATAATAGTATCATTTTTGTGTGGCAGCAAGGCACGAAGCCTTTTATTAATGCACCACTCCTCTCCCTTGACCTATTGAAATTAAAAATGTTGACACCAAAATTTATTTAAAGTAATACTCCATCTATTTATGGAATTTTTAATATAAGTTTTCATTTGAAAAACCAAAGTTGACATAGCCACAGGATACTCTTTAAATGTTGTGAAAAATCTAAGTATTCAAAAGTATTTGTTTTAAAAAAAGTTAAAAATTTAGCCAAAAAACTGGGTTGAGCACCCTTAGTGAATTATTCTGTATCTATTTTTTATTATCATAAAACCATTGAAAAAAATATATAAGATCTTGTAATCAAATAAATGACAATTTATTTTACTAAATTTATTAAAATAACAGATATTCTTTGACTTTTCTAGGTTTCTGAAAGTGGTGGCAACTATATATAAGCTATTATGATTAAACATTTGTTTTATCTAAACATCTAACATTAACCTAAGTTTAATACTTAACAGACCATATTATTTAACACATTAAAAAGAAAAAAAAACATTATATATATTCAATTTTCACCTCATAGTCTACAACTGAAGAAGAATCAGAAGTAAAATTCTTTATGAAATCACCATATGGTGATGGTGATGGCGATGAGCTAACTACATCAAATTCAGTTAGATTTGATTGACTAGAATCTTCACATTTTTGACAGTTGCTTCCACAACTACTCACATTTGATGACAAATCATCATCACTGAGGAGTTCAGCTAAAAAATTGAAGATCAATTAAAATATATATACTTAATAATAAAATATTGAGTCAAGTATACATAATTATTTAGTTAAATAAAGTTTGCTCAAATAAAATTGATTCAAATTTTTAATATAATATGTTAGAATCAAGGTGAGGCTCTTCTCATAACCCAATACCACATAGATTTATACAAATAAATGAAGTAATTCAAAATACAATTAATGTAATTTGGTTACATTTTGTAAATATTTTGAAAATTTTGTATAGTTATAAGTTACTCATTTTTGTGTTTAGGGGATGAAAATAAAAATTTAATTTTTCTCCAAATCTTTGTCCCCCTCAAAGTAATACTAATAAAAAAAAAAATATTGAAAAATATTTTATATTAATAGCTCTAGAAAAATCTGTCAAACATGGCAGGACACACTGTATTTCATATTATGATAAAATAATTTACTAGGCATTATATATTTTCTTCAGTTATATTTAATTAACCTAACCGAAAAATTACCTCTCTAAAGTACCTCCCTCCCAGTTAGATTTTCTTTTATAAAAAATGTTATCATTGTAAATCAGTACAAAATTGCTTGTAGGAAAGTCGTCACATAAAAAAAGAAGGCAGTAATATTTTTATTTAATTAATACCTACATTTTGTACATTTTCCTATTTTTTTTTTTTTTTTTTGGTTTATCACATTTGTTGAGAAAATTGAAAAATGACCTATCTAAAGTACCTCTCCACACTGATTTCCTATTAAAAATGGTGCTACACTTAAAAATCGAAGCAACATCTGTGGTAGAAAAGTTGTCTACAAAAGAAAAAAAAAGAAACATTTTTGTAAAACCATAAGCTTCTTCAGGTCTCTCGGAATCTAAAATAGAATCTATATAATGTTTAGTAATAAATTAATCTTAATAAAAATGTAATAATTTAAATATGAATATTGTAGCTACCTATATTGGTTCTAAAACAACGAAAGTTATAGTTGTCAAAATTAATGGAACTATTTCCATGATTATTTGTAAAGAGTTTAAACATTATATTTATTTTATTTTAAATGCTGTTCAAAGATTGAGAGCCGACTTAAAACTCATTACAAATTTATACACAGTGGATACAATGATTTACAGATAAAGCTTAATAATGCTGTGCAAAAACAGCTAAATTTGTGTGTGACAATGGTATATCCACCATCCCACTAATTTACTTTTGAAAAATTATCCTATGCTATCAAATAAGAACATATTTATCAGAGTAATAATCTTAAAATGTTAAATATCTTCCCATAATTTATATTAATATTAGAAAAGAATAAAAGAAACTATTTAAATTATCTAGTATGTAAATATAATATGATACAATATTTATCTTATTAAAGAAATAAACAATAATAATAATGTCATCAAAGATAAAATAAAGTAAAAGTTAACATTTAATAAATAGTAAATCATAAATTCTATGGGTAAACTAATAAAATGATAGTTAAAAAATATTCGCATTTCAACTTTTAAAATAAAATCCTAGCATTTAGTGATAGGTTGTTAAACAATTATTAATGTAAATTAATCAAAATTGAACTAAACTACTTAGTATCCTTGCATCTTTTTTTACAATATATCGCAAATACATAATTTTGATTAACTATTTTTGAAATTATACCAGTTTAGAAAGTATCTGCTAATATAAATAATATATCATTAGGAAACCAATAAATTCTATCCCTTAATACATAATTTAAAATATTTATAAATTATTTGCAATATATTTTATACCTGTCGACTTTGTTTGAATACTGAGTATGCTTTCTGTTTGGTCTGAATCATCTGTATTTGAAAATGTATCAGGCAATTCTAGAGCAGTATAGTTATAAATATATCTAGATTTTTTTCCACCCCAAGTCACATCGTATTCTTCATTGTTTAAATCATCTATAATATATATATATAATAAATAAATAGATAATAATTGTTTAATAAATAATACATTTTAAAATATTAGTATCAACTTAATATGTTAATTTTGGTATAGGTTGAATTAGGTGACCCACCTAATTCACCCCTCTGTGCAGAACTTTTATTACCTTTATTTCACAAATTTTTATCAATATTATAAAAATAGCCGAAAATTCAAACATGACAAATTTAACAACATAAGAGATTTTACCTATGTGGAAGCACAAGAACAAATGACTTGTAATAGCCTGATATTATTGGGAGAGCTAAGGAAATATTGACAAGTTGTTAATGATGTGTTAACACCCCCTGCAGGAACAAATAAGTTGTCAATAACATCAGCGCTCAGTGATAACTTTAGTGGCATAAAATTTTGAGTAGTAAAACTACATGGCCAATAGATAGGTGAGTATTTGCAATCAGTGTATTAATCATGTTTCTTATAAGTATAGATACAATAATTATTTAGCGCCTTAGAGGTACTAATGTTCAGCAAAGTTATGAAATATAAGGGAAAACCCAATTACATTGATAGATAAATAACAGGTATACTTTAATTTTGTGTAAATAATAATTCAAATATATTATATTTTGAAATTATCTTAACATTTACTTTATATTATACTATAATTAGTACAAAGGTAAATGTATCTATTATTAATTATTTTATTACAGTATTTTTATAACTAAAAAATTATTTTAAGTTATACTTAAATGAAAAATATAGATAATTAAACATAGCATATTATTTTAAATTTGTATAATCACAAAAGTATTTAATATCAAAGAAATTATTAATGCTACCTATGTAAATCAATTGTGTTAATCACATAACTTTCTGGGAACTAAAAATTAACTACAGTTAACTTTACTCTTTTTATCTTAATGCTTTCTAAATTAAAAAATTTAGAAAATACATATATATAATATAATAATACAATATACTAACCATTGGTATACGTAATGTTTTCGATTTGTCTTTTGACAGTTTGATGCGACATCCCCGAAATGTTTTTCAATTTAATAAAATGAATGGAATTTTTTTCAAACTGGATACCTATGTATGAAAACAAACTTATTTAAGTTATTAATGTTTTAAAATATATATATATACATCATTAATATAGTGTAGTGTTCAGAATAAATACAATTTAAAATATTTGATGAATATGTTTGAAATAAAGAATGATAAATATAAAAACAACTCTTGTCTTTGAATATTGTATATCAATCTCAAATTGATTGTTCATGAAATATATTGTGCTAATTATTTAATACAAATATTGTTTTGTTCGATAATGGGCAGTACCCAGTTTGATCTTAATTAAGCTATTGTGTTAATATTAAGTAAAATAGAAATTAATTCAGTTTACATGGTATCAACTGTTAAATTGCACTTAAATGTATTTAAACTGTATTAAATAATAATACAATGGAATGAATAAATGAAATGTATGTGATACATATTACCTGTTGAAATTGCTTGATGCGTCCGTATTTTAATTGGTTTATCTTACTCACAGAGAAATTACGAAAACCATATTGAAAGTCAAATTTATAATTATATAATTAATATATTACAAATAGGTACTTACTTACAATACAACAAAAATGCGAATGGTCTTTTGGAACATACCTATAGTAGTAATGCAGTAGATGTCTGTGAACATAGCTCCAACATGGTTAGCTCATATACCATTGATAAGAAAGTGGTTAGTGTAATGTCTATTATGTTGCGTTTACCCAAATAATACGGGGGTAGTTTAAGATGTTTTAATTTCTAATAAATATATAATAACTAAATTATTTTAATCAATAATTTGTAATTTTGTCATATTGTATACCTGTAAGCAACAATAAAACATTATTTACGAAAAAACGATTCTGAGTGGAGTTCAGTTGATAGATATGCTTTGTTATTATATATGTCATTTTATAATAAAATAATTAAATAGGCTTTATATATTTTCTTTAATATTATTTGTTCAATGTTATACCGATTTTCCCAGTTTTCCTATGTTTTATCCGGGTTTTTCACATTTGCTGAGGAACTCTTGGAAAAATCGAAAAATGATATTTTTAAAGTATCTCTCCAGTGAAATTTTATTTCAGAATCATTGCTATCATTAAAAGTTAGAATAAAATTGCTGGTAAAAAAGTAGTCCACGGAAAAAAAATCGAAAGAATATATTTCATGAATTTTCCAATTTTTTTCGGTTTTTCACATTTGATGAGAAAACTCCTGAAAATCTCAAATAAACTTATTAAAGTACCTTCCCACTCCGATTTCCTTCTAAAAAAGGTACTATACGTAGAAATCTGAGCAAGTCTTCTGGTAGAAAAGTTGCGCACAGATAAAAAAAAAACATCTTTATAAAACTATAAGCTTCTTCGTTCTACTTAATATCTAAAATACATTTAAAATATTTTATTCATTCGAATATAAAATATATACTAACATATATATAAGTATATATCTACAACTTATAAGTTTGGATTTGTCACTAAATAAATTTGTTTTGAAATCACTTTAATACCTTTAATTTTATTATTTTAATTATTTATGTGCTTAATTTATACTTTGAGTATTGAATAAGAATGTATGATGCATGTTTGAAATGATTACTGATCTTGTTTGAGCAAACAGATTCGTCTAACTTTATTTTGATTAGGTACATTAGTTTTAAATCTTGCAACTTAATTGATTGGGATGGCTAAGCAGTCATTCCACAAATGTTTTATTAAGATAAAATTGGGGTTTTACAAAAATCAATTATACAAATATGTTTACACCACAAGTGACTTATAAACAGATTTCAATTCAAAATGCATAATTTTTTGATTGCTATTTTTTGCTTTCCATGTATATCATTTAATTCATGTAACAGACTTCAAAGGTGAAATTATTATTTTGATTTTTTTTGCATTTTTCAATATTTTTTTCGTTTTATTGCATATTTGTACATAATGTGACCATCAAATAAATATACTTTGTATATTTAATATATGATACTTTATAATTTAAATTTAGCTAACTCAAAATATTACTCATGTTTTTTGATTTTTAAGTCAATCAGTCGAATATAGCCCCTTCTCAGTTATACGTTAAATTTTTTAAGTTTTTGTTGTTTTTTTTTAATAAATAACATACAAATATAAATAATCCAATTAAACTTAAATGTCTTTTTTAAGTTCATTTTCGCTGTAAAATAAATTTTGTAAAGACATATTTCGATGGTTTTTTAGTACATTAAAATATGGGCTTTAGTTATAATTAAATTGAATAACAAAATATTATAGTTTAATAATAGGTAAAAATTGCTATATTTGGTAATACTATTAAAATTTGATAACTAATCGATATTATATTACTCCTTGTTATTCTAGCGAATGCAACTTAAAGTACGTGGTAATAACCAATTTTTATCATTTGTATAGGAATCTTAACTTCGACGGAATCATCTCCACAATAGACCTTATACCACGAATTAAGATATCTTGTGAACACCGTGTTGTGTCCATTGAATTATATGATTACTGGAACGCTCACCACGCAGTGTGGTCTAAGCGAGCATGTTAAAAAGAGATGGCGAAAACTTTAGGTTTATCTATCACTGTTTAACATACAGCGACAATTTTATTTTATATCGCTATGTGTGTAGTAATAACTAATTGTATTTACTACTTGTGTTGCTTGAATCATAATTATTAAATTAAGTGATATTTATTTATAATAATTATAATATAAATATACATATTATATTATTTTACTATAATATTATAAATGTGAACAGAGGTGTACATAGAAATTTATTTGAGGGTCGGTTATAAAAAAATCTTTTGGATTTTAATTAATATATACATTAAATAAATTCATAAATACGCACAAGTGCCATATAATCAATCATACATTTCGATGGGGGAGGGGGGTGATAAACCCCAACAACCCTCTCCTATATATGCCACTGAATGTGAAAGTTGGTGAGGATGTATGGATGTTCGTTCTTTGACACAAAAACTACTGGACTGATTGAGCTGAAATTACAGTATTATTGTATATACATCAGAATAACATAAAGGCTGTTTTTTATCATGAAATTCAACCCCTAATGGATGGCTGATACAGGGATTTTGGTATTTTGCGTTATAATTTTTGTTGATTTGGTTACTTTAAGAACAAAGTAAATATTATCTGGAATCTGGGATGAGGGATATGAGATTTTCTCACTTTATATGAACTATTTCCTAATTCAGCATCCCAAAACTAAAATTTAAAAACAAATAAATAACTTAAAAAATAATTAATTATTTATTTATTTATTTAAAAAATGTAAAATACAGAAACAGAAAGAAATACAATAGTCTGAAATATCTAATTTATTTTATAATAAAACAAGGGCTTATTTTGATTATAATTAGTGAGTAATCTTGTATTGTCTTCTCTAATTCTTGACCAGTTAGTTTTGTCTGGACACCAACTTCAATAAACATGTTTTTTTTAACATCTGTAACATGTACATCAAATTTGTACTACTATGAACAGATTTTAATACATCTTATACAAACATTTATCAGTATAATATATACTATGAAAAGACATTAAAGTAAACATGCTAATAAACATTATAAATAATATTCCTTATAAATTAAAAAAATATGTACTATTTAGTGTTAAAATTATATAAATTATGTAGTTTTTTTAAATTTGGAATATTCTATTTAAATGTTATTATTTTATGTTTATTACTTGAAGGTCTAAATCATCCCTAGAATTATTATAAAATAATAATAATTATATTTTATTTCACCTTCTGTTAAGTAAAATAAAAAATATAGAGTAGATGCAATATTACATTAGAATTTCGTAAAGTTAAATAGATTAAAAAATGTTATACTAGCCTTGAAACATTCAATGTTAGTGAACCTGTGAACTAAACAATTGATTTGTGTATCAAGTTCAACTTTAAAACCAACACCATTTGAAAGTTTTAATATAGATGCATCATGAGACTAAGCATATAATATCTGAAAAAAATAAAATAACCATTAGATATTTAAAGAAGATAAATAAATATTAAGTTAAATGAATAGATTTAATTAAAAAATACACATTATTAGAAGGTTAATTAGAAAGTGGATTGAGTCATACAATTCTGTTGAGGTTTTCAAAATTTTAAATATTACAACTGTTTTCTGTTAGCATTGTGAAAAACTGATAACAGTTAAAAAAAAATTTCAAATTGATCGGCATGCAGTCTTTTTTTGCATCAATAATGTTTAAACAAATCTTCTTCTAACCAAACTTTCATTCAATGAACAAATTTTCAATTAACATCGGTAGAAAATCAATCACAATTTTTCAAAGAACTTTGTAATACTTTTATTCCATCAAACATAGGTTTAACATAAACTACAAAATACAAACTTTAAATGTTTTTTGGAAAAGTACACATATAAACACATACCAGATGAAAGTATGTTAAGAAAAAACTATTTAAGTAAAATGTTATATTGACGTTTTACAAAATATTTGAGAAAATATAGGCAGCTTGTACAATTTTTTTATTGTTGATGAAATTACTGATCCTCGAGGAAAGTATGTAGCAAATTTCCTTGTTGGCAAATTAAATACCAATTCGCCTTCTAAATCGTATCTTTTAATATCAAAAGTTCTCGAAAAAATCAATAATTCAACTATAGCACAATTTGTAAACAATTCCCTTAAACTATTGTGACCCGAAGATAGCAATGATGACGAAGTTTTGTTGATGTTATCTGATGCTGCTCCTCACACGACAAAAGCTGTACACAATTTATAACCATTTTATTTAAGTCTTGTAAATGTAACTTGTGTTGCTCATAGTATCCACTGAATCACTGAAAAAATTATAGATACTTTTCATGATATTAACAATTTAATTAATAATGGAATAAGGTTTTTTCAAAAGCTCCGTATAGAATTCAGTTATATAAAGAAATACTGCCAAACACACCTTTACTACCACAGCCAATAATTACCCATTGGGGTGCTTGGCTAGAGTCAGCCTTCTTTTATGCAGATCAATTTGAAGAGTTTAAAAATGTAATTGAAAACTTAAAAGATGAAGCAAAAAGTATTGTAAATCAATCTTAAATAAATTAAATGTAAAAATAATCTGGCTTATATTCAAGCAAATTTTTCATGTATTGTTGAAAGCATCAAAAAGCTTGAAAATTCTAATTTGTCACTAGTAAACTCGTTAAACATTTTAAAACAAATGAAAATTCTAACAATGAACTTCCTACGAAAATAGCACAATAGTTAAAACAAAATTAAAAATGTTTTCGATAAAAATAAAGAACTAATGGTTTTAAAAGAAAATTTAAAAATATTTCAAGGTCCAACTTTAATGGTTTGTCTGTTCCAAATTATTCACCGGATGTATAAGCCAATTTTAAATATGCGCTAATAACCAGTACTGATGTTGAATGTAGTTTTTCATCTTACAAGTACATCCTATAGATTGTCATAATTTTACAAAAATAAACATGGAAGACACTTTGATAACTTATTGTTTTTCCAATTAACATGCCCACTACATTAAATTTGTTGTGCTTTTTTCCTATTATATACCAATATTTATTATTTAATTTGTATTTTTTTTGTTTATGGAAATTTTAATAAAATTAAAAATTAATTATTACTGCAAAATTTAAATAAAATATAAAATTTAAAATAAATTTAAATTTTACTATGCATGTTTTGCTTTTTATTCTTGTATATCTTGCCTTTTTTTAGTGCATGTTTGAATGCATATTTTACAATTTAAAATGTATACAGATCTGGTCTTTACTTATTTGATTTAACCCATATAAATTTAAATCTAAATATTTTTACTAACATTTGATCCTGATTTTCATGGGTTGGTATGTATGTATGAATTTTGATCATTACTTGATGAATCCATTTTTTTACAATTCCTTAAAATACAAATAAAAATAAAAATTGTTAAATCAAAATAAATTAAAATCTTTTTAAACTAGTTTAAAAGTTGTTTTACCAGATGGTTCAGGACTTCCAGGTTCGGAACACCCATAGAGTAACATATAGTGTGATGTATGACCATATGCTTTTGGTTTGAATGTAACTAAAATAATATATATAATTTTCTTTATATAAAACAATTAACAGAGAGGTACCTAAAATATTTGTTTTTAGGATTAAACAATTAAAAGTAATAAACAACAAACTACATTTCTATTGGAATAACTTATAAATAATTAAATAATATTCATTGAAATCAGTTGATAGTAAATTAATATTTTAAAACAAATAAAATTGTACCTAAGTATAGGAATACATTATTATTATTATTTATTACCTATTCATAATGAAATATTTTCCACTAACTAATATGTTCACAAATTCTAAGTTATTAAAAATAACTTTTGGTGAAAGCAATTAAAAAATAGTAAGTAACAATAGTTACTATAGAATTCTAGACTTGTTCTTTAAAGACTAGATACTAATTAATAATCTATTCATATATTTATCTTTTAACTAATTACCTAGTACTTTTACTATACTCTATTTAAAATAAAATTGAATCTATTACATGCATACAGTGTAGTGTGGGGTGGTATATGGTGCATTTTCATTGTACTAGTGGTAAAATCTTATTATTCTGAATAGTGTATAGTTAGGTAAGGTAGCTAAAGTACTTAAGTACCTATTATTAGTTTAATTACATTTATTTATTAATAATACTTTATAATCAAGAACTTTTTTGTCCCAGTCAACAATTCTGGAATTAAAATTCTTTGATTACCAGTTAAGGTACGGTTTCCAAAGTGTGACATGTCATGGTACATTTAAATAGAGTGGTTTGAAAGACATGGCATGTTGCAGCGACATGTTTGTTTTGTCACGATCATAGAATATATGATCAGTATAGCTGCTAATTTGTTCTAGAACACATGTTAGTTATATTTTTTTATATTATAATTGGAAGTTTACAATAATTTAACATTGAAACTGTTTTTAATAATAACAACAACATTATAACTCTTCTATTAGACAAAGAGCATGAAGACATTAATTTTTCTTGTCCTAACAAAAAAATAAATCCATCTGACTAAATGTTTAAATAGCGTTCTGATATTTTGAAATATTGAGGAGAATTTCATCTTCTGATGGTGAAAAATTAATTTTGTGATCATGTCATCATGTAATCGTCACAATGTGTCGTACAATACTGCTTTTGGACAACCAAAGGTTTGTCATGCAAACAAGGGTATACCTTTTTTGTGTAAACAGATTTTGACAACTTGTAGCACTTTGAAAACTATACCTTTAATCATTTAGGGGAACATAGTGATGATGATTGTTAGGTTATCTTGGTTTTTGGGTCTCTCCATAACTAAAATTACAAAAAAATTTTAGGAAAAATTCTATAATTGGTACCTACTAAATAAAATACAATTACGTTATTTGTTACATTACAATATTGCACTTAAATAAGAATATTACAGTGATACAATAATGTTTAAACTATTTATTTTATAATATTAGATATGCAATTGGACTATTTAAAATTAATATTTTAATTTTTAGTTTAATGAATACTAACCTCTTTTTGCGTCTTTTTGTTTAACTCCCGGATTTCTCAAACTGTTAAATTGTTACACCAAATCATCTCACGAACCTATTAATAAATTTCTTTTATGTAGACAATTGAACTTCCCAGTGGTTATATTATGGTGATTTTGGACCATAAAGTCAACCAAAAAAGGAGGTTGAGATTGGTTTTTTGCTAAATGCCTAAATTTATTGATTTCCATAATCTATTTGTAAATAGTACAGCGTAAACGAACATCGAGTAACTATACCAAACAATTATTAAATATTAATTATTATCATGAAGACTAGAAACATTCAGTACATCCGCAATTAGGAGTTTTGATTTAATAATATTACTATAGAAACAACAATAAGTTAATGATAACGAAACTAATCACGCTGGTGACGTGATATTGATAATGGCAAACATAAAAAAATACGCGGTTTTATTGGTTGCATTTTATACTCTCCCACTGAAAGTATATTTTCATATTTAAAATAGTTACAAAGCTACAAAACTAAAAACATCCAATATCGAACAGATTGAATATTTACGTACTAATACTGCAGCTTAGAATTAAATTATACAATTTATTTTGCATTATAAATGTATTTATTGCTAAAATACAATAAAACTATTTGATATTTTTTTTTTTAACAAGGTTAACCATTTTTAAAAATTAAGGCTTTTACTCGACGTTAATGATTGTTATAATGAAAAAAGAGCTGATTCTGGAGACGGATGAGGCCACTGTTGTAGGTGGATAATTGGGAAGGTGGGATATATAAAATTAATAATGTATACCTGTAACTAGAGTGCCTTCATATCAAGGCACTCTGCTAAAGAGAAACGATTCGGAGTGAAGTTCAGCTATACGTGTTTCGAAATGCCGTAATATTTACGATTTTCGTCAAAATTTCATATTAAAATTCTTATAAAAAAAATAGAACATTACACTCAATTTTTTTTTTACCACTAAGTACAATTTATTATGAACCTTCTATACAATTTAGAAGTATTTTTGTTTAGTCTAACAATTTTACTATCTATAACAAACTCAAAAAATGCTCATATATTTTGAAAATTTAACCACGTCTAAAAAGGACAAATATATGTTTTCTGTCCAAATTTTAAGTCCCTACAAATTGTTTTAACTGAATTACACCAAAAAAAACTTAATTGAAAATAATAAAAAAATTATTTCCGTACATTTTCCAAATCTTTCTACATTTTAGATCTGAGTGTAGTGAATAATGTATTAGTTTTAGTAATTAATGAGGACAAAATAAAATACATGATTGTAATTAGGAATAAATGCAGTTACAGAATAGAAACCAAACACAAAAAAGGCCAAGAGGACGTCCCAGACAAAAATGAAAGGATAGAGTGCACAAGGACCTAGAAGAACTAGGAATTGAGAATGGAGAAGATTTTACCCGGAGTTTTTTCAAAAAATGTGAAAAACCGAAAAAAAAAAAAACGTAATATTTGCAAATAATGAATCCATTCAACAGTGAAGTAGATATTTAGAAATTAGGATGGCTTGCCTGTTTATTTCTATACAAATAAAAATCATTTAGAATGTGATAAGTTGTTAGTGTTTTTTAAATTCAAACATAAATAATTGTTGATATAAATTATTTATTTTAATTTAACTAATTTAAAATTAATTATAATGCCAGTTATGTAGTTACTGGCTGAATTGTACCATCCAATTAATATTTTTTTATTCAAAATCTGATGTCAATAAAATGTATATTACTTTACTAGGAAGAAATAAACAAACTTTTTTTTAGGTACGTGTTAATAATTTGTTGAAGGAGATTTCAATATGAAACTTCGAAATATTTTTTTAAAATATTTTATTGGGATAGTTTCGTTGCAAATCGGAGTGTCAATGATGACTGGAACATATTTGGTAAACAATTTATATAATAGTTTCCTACCTACCGATAGGTATAACATGTTTTTTAAAATATAGCTTTGCAAAATGAGTTTTTTTTTAGATTTAGATCGTATTTTTTAAATTTTTACGGTTTACTATATCTTCTAATGGCTTAATTATTGGAGTAATTTTTTTTTTAAGATGTTCACTAAAACATTAGTCATAAAATAGTTGTTGAATTGTTTTAATTAATTGATACTTATCATATACCTATTTATTAAAAACATTTTACAACGAAACAAAATAATAATTGTTAAAAATATCACTGTAAATATTATGGTAATTAGGCTTTTGTATTTTGAACATTTTAATTTAAAATGTATTGTAGGTAACATTTTCAAATTTTTTAAAATAATGTACCTAATAATATACAGTCTATACTATAGGTATCCTATTTTGTAACATTTTATATGAAAATTTAAAAGAAACTTATTTTACAAACTTTTAATACAATTCTATAATAAATTATTTTACTACAAAAAATGTATTAACAAATTAATACATTTCGAATAATTTTCCAGATGTTGGCATTGTTAATGACTTTTGTAAATGCGATTGATTTTCTAGTTAATTTAAAAAGTATACTGAAATAATAATTATATATATACCTGTATGTTATCATTAAGTTTTCTAATTTTTTTTTTCGTTATGTTTATAGCCAATCAAATCGTTGTGCTCGTAGTAATATTTTTGATACTATTTACGTGGGTAATTGCATTCTTTGGAGCTTATCTAGTAAGTAGAATAGGTAATTATTTTTGTATTTTGCATACTTACCTTTTAAATAGGTATCTATATTTTATATACTATATCAGTGGTTCACAAACATTTTTGGTTCATGCCATCCCAAAAAATAAATAAATAATAATTGCGCTTCTCATGAATAAATTTACTACAATTTCGTATTATTTTAATATTGAAACCATGAGTATTATTTAATTTCAATTAAGTATAACAAAATATTTTTACTTTTATGAAAAAAAAAAACAACGACTAATTAATTTTAATGCGAACAAAGTGATTGTTTTTGTTCAATATTTACTCAAAATTAGATAGCAATAGTATGACAGCCATTGGCATTTCTTTTTCAACATTAAGTTTTCACTGATATTTTAATTTTAATACAGCAACTGCAGAAAATCCTGCTTCATAAATACGATGTCACAAATGGTAGTAATACATGCAAAGTTTTTTGGCTACTTCAGGATATTCATCTTTAATGTTTTTTTAAAAGCCTAAAAGTGAATATGAATACAATTTTATTCGTAATGAAAAATCAGATGAAATGTCGATTAATTGTTCTTCTTCTATAGTTGTGAACTGTGATAATGATTCCTCAATAAACGGGACTTTAATTCAATTATATTGTTTAATTTCTTCTGGAAAATATTTCACAAAATTACTTTTAAGAGTTGTCAGATGATCAGAAATTATTTTTAATTAGTCATTGGTAGTTCAAGAGTATTGTTTAAAAGTGGAAAACAAGTGGTTTTACTGAATTTTTCTGTTAATTTCCTTTACTATAAGTCGATTTTTTTAATAAAAGCAAGCATTCCATCATAAAAATACAGAATATGAGTTTCTTTACCTTGTAAAGATGTGTTGAGCATATTAAGTTTTCAAAAAATGTTACTTTAATACGCTAATTTGATTACAAAATTACTATCAATAAACTAATTGGAATAATCATGACCTTTTAAACTCAATTAAGTGTAAAGTCCTTGTCTAAATTCCAACACTTGTACTACTACGTTACCTTTTGAAAGCTATCTAGAATTACAATAAAACAGTAGGGCAGTATACTTTGCTCCCATTTTTCACATATCTTTTAAAAAAAATCTTGCTTTAACATACAAGTAGTTAACTAATTTTATTACTGTTTCAAGAACGCTATTTAATGATAGTCATATTTTATGATGCTAAAGATTCTCGATGAATAAGACATCGAGTCTACATAATTTCTGGAGCTTTTTGTCGTATTAAAGCCTGAATTATCCACCATAATAACAATTAGTCCAATATGACCAGCCATAGCTCGAGCTCCGTCTGTACACACACTCAAACAGTTTTCCTACAAAATATATATATTTATATATAATAATATATTGGACATTATGGTTCGAGAATAATTGGGTGACGCGATGATACTAGATTTACATCAAATATCGTTTCAACGAATTTATCGTTAAAAATATCAATATTTACCTCGCGCCTGATATGAATAATACCACCCCGGTAGAATTTCACTGAAGAAAGTAAACATAATATATTATGTAGTGGGACCCAATAGGTTCATGTGGGGGCTCATGAGTTCACAATTTATAATTTGGTCTTATAAAGATGTTTATTAATTTTTTTTTTTGTGTACAAAAATTCTACCAGAAATCTTGCTCCGATATGAACGTACGGCACCATTTCTGAAAGGAAATATTGTCCGGGAGGTATTTTTAGATTTTAGGAGGTCATTTTTAGATTTTCCAAGTGGTTTTCATAATATCTGGGAAAACCAGGATAAAAGGTAGGAAAACGGGAAATTTACGAAAATGTTTTTATTATTATTTCAATTTTATTATTTGTTGTAAGTCAGATAAAAATATTCGTAGAGACTTGAAATTTGAGCAGAAAATTTATATTTTCCTTTCCTAGAAATGGTAAAATGTTCAAAACATTTGAGTTATTTCGAGGCTTTTTATACAAATTTTAATATTTTTGTTAAAATAGCGGCTACCGGGTGGCGGGAATAAATATGTAAGCGTATTATCAGTTCAATAAATAGTTATAGGGCTGTTTTATTACTTATCAAACCAAAATTGATCCTCCAAATTATCGATTTCACAAGACATTATTAAATTTGTCGAATCGATAAAAGATATAAGACGTTTTTGCAACAGCCAAACACTTTATAAAACCGATTTCGATGTTATCGGTTCGATAATAAGTTATTGGTAATTTATGCAATCCCGCAATATGTATAATTGGTACCATCTTTGTCTTTTGTCGATAAAAACCCGTGTCCTAAGAAAATTACACCGCCACATGAGTCGAAATTTGCTTATTATTAGGACAATATTATTATGATTATTTATAGATAAAGTGATATTCGGAATATGAAATTTGCGGGGCCCCGCACTTGTGCGACTACATCGCTTGCCCCCCTCTCTAGGACAAGCGCCACCATTTTGTGTAAGTATCATTAAAAATTGAAACGGAAAATCCTGAATATCTTTTGTATGTGATCAAATTTAGGTTTTTGATTAGGTATAGTACCAGAATTTTTTTTCTGGAAGAGCAGAAAAGGGCAAGTACATTATTTAGAGGGGCAAGCACAACAATTTTATTTTTCAATAAAAAACAACATTTAAATAAATTATATATTAGTGAACATTGTATTAATAACACATAATATATAGAATACATCAGAACCCAATTTTTAAAAATTAAAATTAAACAACAATATTATCTACTTGCTCTGATGATGCGGCAGGCGGTGACGAAGAACTTAGAAATTGCCTATATTTTGCCCCTTATTGAATAGCTGTAAGCAATCTCCTTAATAATTCGAATAATACAAATTCCTACGTGCGAAAATATCATTAGTGTACGGCTTTGGAGGGGGGGGGGGCGAGAGAAGGGTGAGAATTAGTCCTGGGTGAGCGACCACACACACTTGCCCACCTTTAACGCCGTCTCTGTTTCTTCACATTTCTTCGAAATTCATTATTATAACTTGAATATTCAATTTATAACACACATTTTAAAGCACGTAGAACGTTACTGACTAATGTAATTACTAATGGATAATAACTTAACCTTATTATTTTTTTCATGACGAACAGTTTTTACTGTTTTTTAACTGTTTTTCACTTTAATAAAGACTAGTGATATTTAAACAGGCAATAATAAGGTCGCTGTTGAACGGATTTAAAATATTGTTTAATATTGTTACACAAAAAAACCGACACAATCTAAATGTTGATAAATAAATTTGACTAAATTCTACTTGCTAAGTAAATAATAATGTCAATCGTCAATATCACGATAACAAAAATTGCTCAACGTCCGCATCGGAACCAATGTTCGCAATCGTTAAATCAAAAATAATGATTTGATATTATAGTCCGTGCAACTAGTATGTTGTATTTGTATCTACAAATCTTATGTCACCTTTTTATGTTTCATCCGTAATTCGCATGGGTTTTATTACTTTTTTCGCAATTAGGAGAGTGTCACAAACGCCTCGACTGTTTCAGTCTGTCTCTACCAGGCAACATACAAAAACAATGTTTACGCAGACTAAGTAAAACTAGCTTCATTTTAATTATAGAGTAAAAGTACCTTTATAAAATACATAGAGAACAATATTTTGTAGAGAATCTTATAAATGTTTTTTGAATTATGAAACATTAAAAAAATTACGTTTAAATAAACAATAAAAAAAAGGTATTTGTTCCTTTTATTTCGAGCTGTATATTTAGGAGAATACGAAAACTCGATGTGGTTACCTCCAAAATATTCTATAGATTTCATAATAGGTACTTGTACTAAAAATTTAAAAATAACTATCTTAGGATAATGAGGACAGGTGCAGCCATTATTGTAGACGGGAATTTAATATATATATCTGTAAGCAACGATTAACCATTTCTAACGAAAAAACTATTCTGAGCGGAGTTTGGTTAGCAGTGTTGCCTTGTTAATAAAATATATGTCTTTTTTTGATAAAATAATTACATATGCATCAAACATTTTCTTTAATAATAATATTTTAATAGTGTACCTATTTCTCCGTTCTCTCGGTATTCCCATGTTTTTTTTCTGGTTTTTCCCATTTATTGGCAAACTCCTAAGAAGATAAAAAAATGACCTCTTTAAAGTACTTACCTCCATATTCAGATATACTTTTAGAAAAAGTGCTGTCATTGAAATTCGGAGCAAAATTGCTAATAGAAAACTTGACTACAGAAAAAAATAAAAATAAACATCATTGTAAAACCATAATCTTCTTCACCCCACTTAGAATCTTAAAATAAGCTTGTTTTACTTGTCTACGCAAGCATTGTTATTGCATGTTGCTCGGTAGTTGGAGTGAGACAGTAAATGCGGGTGCGATGTCCTTTTAAAAAACTACGGATTTTGACTCTTCAAAGCCGTACGACTACGCGCGATATTAGAAGCGACGTTGCCAAGTTTATTATTGTAAATATAACTATAAACTGTAAATAAAAAATGTATGTTTAGAAAAAAATCTCATATGTAAATAAAATAAAATAGTAAATAAAACAACAAAGTAAAATTTCTCCGCTGTTTGATTGATCGAAATGTGAGCCCTCTGTAAACTAATAAATCTCCCCTGCTTTTCGAACTTGTAAATTGAATTTCATTTTACATTTTATAAAATAAATATATTATTTTTCACTATAAAAAAAGCATTGAATGACACAACTGAAACACTAACACGGCTGTCAGTGGGAATATATACTTGAGTTTATACCATGAGCGATTATAGTATATTCGTGCCTATATGAAAATTTACAATAATTTTGATCCAATATAAATTTTGGGTACTATTTGCAATAAGTAATAAACAATCTGGATAATATTACTGTATATATATAAATATATATGATAAGGTTACATGGAAATAAAAATTATGTAGCACGCACAATCGTACTCCTAAAAAGCTATTGCCGATACGGACCGCGCGCATTATTGTAGATATTCTATCGGTATTAATGTATAATACTATAATATATATATATACAATCTAAATATATACGTATTGGTAACTTCCCAATACTTCCACATACAACAGTGACCAGTCCACCCTTAGTGCGAAGTGTGTCCTGCTTTTCGCCTTAATAATTATTATTATCTTCCTACATAACATTTTATGTTTTACAGGAGTCAATGATGATGACCAGATTTGCAACTGTTTTATGGACAGTCTTCATTTTAATATGGTTATTTTTGGCAATATCCAAATTAATCTCAAACGATAGGTATGTAATACATAACAATATTAATTTTATTACGCATAGGTGATAGGCAGACTACTCGTGTGGAATACTCCAATGGGTTTATTAAACACGAGTTGTGTCCACGGTGTTATTCAAATCGGATCCGGGGTAATATTTTATCAATAATGGTATTAATACCTACTATTTTAATGCAAGTTTCAGTGCGGTCATTATATTCACGACGGTGCAGCTCACTCAACAGTTTTGTTTTATTAGACACTATACACGAAATTAGAGTGAAATTTACATGTCAGTTCAGCGCTTAAAAAAAGTAAAAAAAAAAGGACATATTTCGCACGTGGGTGGATTACTGTTGTAGGTGATTTGTTCATTTGTTTCAATTACATACACACATTTTTTTTCCAATTGGATCAGGAATATTTGTTAAAATATTTTTAACGATGAATTAATAAACCGAATAGTTTCATAATTGGTGGATTCAAGTTCTTTACATGCAACTAAATCATATTTATATGATTTACTAGGCGTCCCATCTAATTTACCTCTATCTATTTATCTATTTTATCTAATTAATAAATATGCAATAGTCAAACCTATACGAAAATAATATATTTTATTATATGAGAAATTAAAAACATTATTTATACAAACCTCTTGGATTGGTTGTTTCGTTAACAATTATGTAAACGTAATTATTTCTAATATCACTAATTAGTTGTCCATAACGCTTTTATAAATATTTGGTATGTAATTTTTTATCAAAGTGCTTTCATCCGAAATCGATTTGCCAGTATGTTGTTTCAAAAATGATTTTAACACATGATTGCCCAGTTTTTTAAGCAAAGGAATATTTGCAGCAACAAATGCATTAATACATAAATCTTAAAAAAATAAATTTTTACTATTCGAATTTTAAGAAGTAATCAAGAGCTGTTTTTTTTCTTTATTCCTTTGTAATGCATTCACGTGATAAATTAAAAAAATTTACATGTATTTTTGAAATAAGATGTGGTATATTACGTGGTGCAGTATGAGCATAAAATACAAAACTTACTTGTTTTAGAATGATGAACTAATAGGTATTTTTTTATACAATATATAACCTTTCCATCTAATGAAAATACTTGTTTATTTTCATTGTAAGGAGCAATCCAATTCGAAATTTTACTTTTTAAAGTTGATTTTATTTTAGGCATTACGTCGAATACGTTCACTGTGCGGTCAAACTGACCAAAGAAATAGGTACTAAGGTATCAACAAGTAAACGCACACGAATCGCTGTGCTATTACGTTGAATTTAATTACCACCATATATATATAGACATTTTTCGCTCGTTGGGATCTCCAAAGTTTTAAAAAATTACAGATGAACGATAAACGCCTATGATTTAAAAAAATGGGAAAATTGCAAAAAATTGCATTATAAAATTAAATAGGCGGAATATTTTTAGTATATATCGATTATATATTTAATCAGATCTGATTTATCTTTATTGAAAAAAAAGTGACAATATCAATTAAATCCAGTCTTTACTTATAACAGTGGTTGCACCCGGATTCCATTATCCTAGGACGTCTTTTTTGTTACTTCTTTCCTTTTATTGGAAAAATGCCGGGAAAATAAAAAAATGACCTCCCTAAAGTACCACTCCAATAAAATTGCATCGTATACGTTAGAGCAAGATTTCTGGTAAATTTTTTTACACAGTATAAAACAAGAAATATATATCTTTGTAAAACCAATGCATCCTTCACTACTCTCAGAATCTAAAATGAGAACTGTTGTATTTTTTGGGACGAGAAAACCCCTCACGATATTTTGTGGTGTATCACAATATTTGAACCGCCCTCCCTCCTTGATTGAGCTTCAGATACTTCACTGTGCCATTACCTTTAACTATATAAATGCCTTTAAAGAAACTAGAAATAATTTGGAAATTCTTAATTACTTGAAATAATTAGTTTTTTTTTTTTTATTTGTTAAAATACCTATGCTAATTTTGTCTACGTTATTTAGGACGTATTGCATAGCTAATAAATTGCGATGTGCACCAACCATGTGGTTTATGGAAAACAAAATTCCAGAAACCAATGTATCAGCCACCAATGAAACAGCCACCACTGAATCAGCCACCACTGAATCAGCCATCACTGGATCAGCCGACTCTCAATCACTCTCAATTATACCACTCACCGTTGATCAAGCCGACCTTGAATCAGACGCCTCTGAATCAGCCACCCCTGAATCAGCTACCCTGGAATCAAAAGTTGTACTATCAGATAACGGAAATCACGGTAAATAAGTCTGTATATTATTTCAAATAAAAGTTTGTAGCCTACATTCGTTGCAGTTCACAGTAAGCTGCGTCAAAATAACATTTTTTTTTTACTTGTCTTTTATTTGAGAATATAAATGTTTGTGTTGACATATTTAATCTTTTCATTTATATAAATGAAAACCAGCGATTTTTATGAATGCTTACATTTAAAAAAAAAAAGAAAGTTATTTACATGCATAATACCATAGGTATCTATTAGGTGAATTAATTAGTATCATCGTGTTTAATAGATGCGTTACTACGGAACGAGGATGTGAAATTTCAAAAATTCCAGTATATAGGTAAGAAATTTGATGATGATGATGATGATGATGATGATGTCGATGACGATGCCGATGATGTCGATGACGACGGTGATGGTGACGATGCCGATGACGATGACGATGACGATGCCGATGCCGATGATGATGACGATGAGAAAGACGAAGGCAATAAGATGAAATACATAATTACAATGATATTATATATGGGTACAGTAAAAAATGTCTACTTTCCCAGTGTCACAGGAATTTTATACCTAGGAACACCCCTCGGTAGGATTATCCTAGGTTTATCATATCCTTTGGTACCATAACTCTAGTATTTATATACCTCCCCCCCCAATTTACTGTAGTTTCCACGGAGGTATGAAATTCCATTTTAAACAGCATTTAAGCTCCATAACTCGATAGTTTTTCAAGGTATCCGTGCAAGATCTTCACTAATATATTTAGGTACATAAGGTATGTTAGGTGCATTTCATATTAAAAGCACCCCCCAACTTCTGATTTTTGGATTAAGTATATTTCGGCGGGATTTAGTGATGAGAAAATGGTTTCAATGCCAAATAATTTGACTTGGTACTTCACATAAGTTCCCTCCGTAAATTGATACCCTTCCAAGGTACTTAGACTGGAATTTATTCGATCACAATCAAACTTTGGAAACGGATTCTAGGTGACCTGAAGACTGCTCTCAATAAATTTAGTGTCAATCAGAAGGGATAAAAAGGGATGACTCTCTAATACACTCTTATAGAAGGGACTTATAAGGGGGTCCAAGCCAATTTTTTTCACATTTTAACTACTCTCTAATGAGTCCAACAAATCTTGCGGAGATGTACTTGATGTATAGATGCCTCGTCGATCATGTTGGAGAGTCATATTTTTTTTTTATTCCTACCGATTGATACTAAATACACCAAAGTCATTGATAAATATTGGCATATTGAATAAATTAAAATATTGTACTATACAATAGTATAGGTAATTTACAACTTATTAATAATTTTATAAATGCTTTATTTAAAACAACATTTTTTTCTGGCTAAAGTTGTGGAAACAGTTCGTATTCTCAAAATATTTTAGTCGTAATATTAGGTTTAGTAGATAATGATTTTATAAATTAGCTACCAAAAATGGTGTTGTAAATCAATTATATACCAGAAATCAGTTTTCGGGACTTATGTAAAGAAAATTTAATATCAATCGCTGATGTACTAAGGGATCAACAAATTTCCTTAAGGTAAGTTTTTGCATCGAATTCATCAATTGGTAGACAATGACATATGCGATGTAATTGCAATACAAAGTGTACCACAAACAAATGTGATTGTAAAAATGTTGGAATTTTATGTAACAAAAAATATTAACATGACAAACTGTCATGTTGCAATAAGTAATACAATAATAGGTAATTAAAATTTTAGTATGGTAAAACAATCATAAATTAAATTATAATATAAATATAATATTGTTTGATAATAAGAATAATTAGTTGATTAAATTAAATACTTACCTATTTGTTATATTGCATAACAATAGTAAATATAGTTTATAGTCTATACTTTATGTACAAATACGTAAATTAACATTGACTTAAACCCTAATGTAAATGTCAACATTCACTAGTAAATGTCTACATTCTTTTTCATTTTTCAACATTCACCAAATTAGGAGGTGTATGTTGACATAACTGGTAACTGTCAGCATTCACCAACTACGGACATTCACAGTAACATATACGTAGAAATAAAAATAAATACACAATGAATGCGTCGCCGAGAGAATTTTAAGTGTATTACGCGACCGGTTTCGAATTAAAAAATCATCAGGTATATCACGGTCAAAATGTAAAACGCGACTAAATATAAAAAATTAAATAAAGAACTTTATTATTTTATAACATATAATAATAATTTATAATATATAACATATATATTGTTGACAAAGCATCACTATCAACTGAACTGCACTCAAAATCGTTATTTCGTTATTAATAGTTTATTGTTGTTTACAGATATACATTAAATTATCTATAATAGTGGCTGCACCCGTTTCCATTATCCTAGAACGTCTTTTTTTAACTCATACTTACAATTTTGTATATTTTCCTCCGTTTTTTCGGTTTTTTACATTTGTTAGAAAACTCGTGAGAAAATTGAAAAATTACCTCTCTATTCAGATTTTTTTTTAGAAAGAGTGCTATCATTGTAAAATGAAGCAAAGTTGGTGGTAGAATAGTTGTACACAGAAAAAAAAAGGCCATCATTTTATTTTACTTTAATACCTATATTTAATGAACCTTCTTTTTAATTATCAAAATTGAAATAATAATAAAAACAATTATTTTCGTACATTTTCTGTTTTCTAACTTTTTATCCTGGTTTTTCCCAGATATTTTGAAAATCGCTTGGAAAATAAAAAAAATTACCTACCAAAAGGACTATCTGAATACTTTTTTAGAAACGGTGCAACGCGTACATATTGGAGTAAGATTTTTGATAGAATTTTTGTACACAGTATAAAAAAAAAAATAAACATCTATGTAAAACCTATATATTCTTCATTATAATTAGAATCTAAAAATATTAAGACCTTCTTATTTCCTGTGAACAACTTTTTTACCAGCAATACAATTTACTTCAATTTACAATAATACCACTTTTCCTCAAAAGAAATCTGACTGGAAAGGTACTTTAGGGAGATCATTTTTCCATTTTACTAAGAGTTTTCCCAGAAGTTGTAAAAAACTGGGAAAAACACAGGAAAACTAACAGAGAAAACCGTAGGAAAAACGAAAAGATCAGTAAAATATTAAACAAATATTATTTTAGAAAACATATAATGCTTATTTAATTATTTTACGATAATTAGACAAATATATTGTTGAGAAAGTTAATAGTGATGCTTTGTCAACAATATATATACTATATTATGGTCAAATAATTACATACCCATTAAAAATTGTCTGCAATATTATTTGTTTAATATTTATTGTACCTATTTTTCTGTTCTCCCGGTTTCCCCAGTCTTTTCTCCAGTTTTTCATGAAAAAATTACGTCTCTTAAGTGCCTTCCCGGTTTGATTTCCTTTTAGAAATAGTTCTATCATTGTAAATCTGAGCAAAATTGCTGGTAGAAAAGTTGTTCACAGATAAAAAAGAGGCCGTAACTTTATTGTTAAACCAATACATTATTTTTATACTCGAAATCTAAAGTTAAATGAAAAGTAAAAAAAAAAAAATTATGTTCATAGTAAGTTATTATCGTGCCTTTTTTTGCTTATCTTAATAATTTTAAGTGCTTATTTGAGTGTTTATAATAAAATATTTAATCGACTTTTCCAGCTTTTATTTTGATGATTATTAGTGCTGTAAGTTCTGAACCCTAATAAAAACTATTGTATCTTTTAAGTCGTAAAAGTATTTTATCAACGGTATATTTTTTTTTGTTTAATGTACGGAGGAAAAACCAAAATGTTCTCAAAATCAGTGTATTATGAATCATATTACATTCATATTATATGATGATAGAAATCAAACTCATGAAACTTTTATATGATTGATCCACCAAGGAGTCTTGACATATTCTTTGCCCCTTAATTTGGCTCCGCTTATCCCAAGCAACGCTGATCACAATTTTTTTTCTGTTTCAGTGCTGTTCTTATACTCGTGGTTTGTGTTATTATCGTTTTGCATAGAACTAAGATACAAAAATGAAATACATTTTTCCTGATTACATGCAAACAGTCAACTTCTACAACGTTCAAATATAAATCAAGAACCAACAGATTTTATAGTTATATTTATATGATACGCACTAAAATAGGTACTCACGTACGAAAATCATGAATATGTGTATACCGTGGGTCCACGAAAACAGAGGAAACAGGGTACTTTTGACATCAAGAATATGAAATGCTATGTACCTATATAAATTGTTGTCTTTAAATGGGTGTTTACGTTTGTTTTTTGGTCAATTTGTAACACCTCGCACTGGCCTTGCCTTACGGTCCAGGTGGAGTGCAATGTGAGAGACTTATGAAAAGTAGCTAACCTACGATCAAAACCCGGAGATCGGAGAGTGTAAGATTTTATGTACATTGCTAAAAATAAATTATTACCCATCCCTATTTATCCGGTCTAAACTTTAAACTGTTATAACTCATAAATAGTAAATAAAATATTAGTGTTATGCATATCGTAATTTCTAGAAAAATTTCTCTATTAAAATCTGTGTTCAAAAGAAGGGGGGTCCTGTTTGAAAATAATCAATAGCATGCACTTATTTAAGGTTTATGAATTAGGGATAAAATATTAAAAATAGTTTTAAAATAAAGCTTAAATAATTCCACAATGATTAGCAAAAACAGAAATCAAACTCACTTAAAATCCTCTGAGATAATTGCTGGTTCATGATAAATAAATTTCCCCTGTATACAGTTGTCTCATGAGGTTTCGACAAATGACTTTTGTTCTCTTCAATATTTTTGAAATAATTAGTATGCCTCAGCATTACAGATTAAGTATAAATATATTTTCTTTTTTTTTAGGGGGGAAGGGAACTTTTTACAAAATTTGATAATAATTTTTTTAAAATGTGAATATTTAAGTTATTAGTTTATTACTTATTATTCAGGGCACATGACAAAGATTTTCTTTTCCATGAGTTAATATCATACAGTAATATTATCATATTATAGGT